GAAGTTCCGTCTTGAGCAGGAAGTTCCTGCTCGAGCAGGAAGGTTGGACTAGATGATCTCTAGAGGTCCCTTCCAACCTTGAATATTCTGTGATTCTGTGATTCTGTGCTGGGGACGCCCGGGAAGCTGGCGGGAGAGCGGGAATCRGACTGGGACAGCAGGCACCATGGGAGCCCTGCGGAGCAGGAGGCTGCTGCGTTTGTGCAGCCCCTCGGTGCACTTGGAGCAGAGCTTAGGGATTAGGCTGCAGACCTAGCCGAGCTCCGTGGCTGGCATTGCAGCCTTGAAGCAGCTGATCCTTGCTTTCAGGGAGCTTGCGGCCTCGGCTCCGCGTTCCCGGCGGGAGAAGGGAATGTGGGGCCTCCCTTGGCATGTTTGTATTGTAGCTTTACAGGCCACCAGGAAACGCAGACCTGCTATTTTGGCTCACTGGAAGTAAAGCCCACATCTGAAGAACAGTGTTTGGAGCCCAACTCGTGACCTCTTCTGATGCCTTCCAATGGCAAAAGCAGACTGTTTCTGAAACTGTGTGCTGCAAGTCCTGTTTGCCCGTGCTTGAGGGAGAGCTCTACGTTTTGTACAGTTGTTTTGGTCGAGGGAACTCATTGCTTATAAAATCTACTCAAGTTCTTCAAGGGATTTGATGCAACTGTTGAAAGACTCAGCCGATTTATTRTACTTCAGTTTTGAGAAGTATTTTGACATGGTTCATAGCCCAAGGTTTTTAAAGAAACTGTGCTGAAACCCCAGATGGGATTTGCTTTTCTAATACCTACCAAGAAGCAGAAGAAAAAGGCAGGAATAAATAACCCCCTTTTTTTTTTTCCACAATGTACAGTGTGAAAATCATGAGATGATGGAATGGTCCTATAGCAGATATATGACCAGAGGGGTTCCCCAGGCATCTGGACTGACACCTATGGTAAATGGCTAATTCATGGGTGACCTGGCAGAGGGCAGGATAGGGAATTTAATGCTTAGAGTGCAGAATTGACTGAAGATCTGCAGAGAGCTCTCATGTGGATGCGACTGGACAGTAAAATAGTAGATGAGATTTGGTGTTGGAAGATGCAGCGTGATGACTGGAGGGGAAAATAACCCCAACTACTCACACGGATAAGTAGGCACAGTGTTAAATTAGCTGCTGTTAYTCAAAAATAATATTTGGAGTCTCTATGAATATCTCAACAAGTCTCTATGGATGCTGGAAAYGGGAAGTGGGTGTTCAAAGAAAAGTAGGATGCAACATCGATTAGAATAGGAAAAAGGTAAAAACCAGTATTATGCTGATGTGTAAATTCAAAGCGTGCTCACATCTTTTGTAAATGTGTGTAATATTACACACACACACACACACCACACACACGTATATATATTTACATAAAATATGCACATGAGAGGATGAAAAAAAGAATGACCCAAAGTGTAGAGCAAATCCTATACAAGGACAGTCAAAACAGGCCAAGGCTCCTAGACTAATGAAGAGAAAATGTGGGGCATGTGAGAAGTCAATATAGCTGTGATGGCAGGTTGGCAAAACGGCATCGGAAACACCGTGAACCATCTGAGCCGCTGTCAAAACGCGCGAGCCGAGGGGTGATCCCTTAGGAGCGGCAGGAAACCGGTGAGACACGGTGCTTTCTTGGACAGTGCCTGGTTAAACTGTGCAACAGAACTTCCTGCAAGAGCGTTTTATACATTTATGTAGGGATTAGGGAAAAGGCATCTGTGGGTGTCCGTGGGACAGGCACTGCGGATGCGCCCTGCGGCGCGGGAGGCCCCGGGGGCCGGGGCACCCTGTCCCGCTCGGGCTCTCGCTGCTGCCTGGGCCAGCATGTTCTTTAGAACATGAAGAGCATAAACATGTTGAAGGGCATAAACATGTTAAAGAACATAAGCATGTTCTYTAAACCCCCGTATTCAGCCAGCGACAGTATTCGGTAGTATAATTCCTGTCTGCGTGTAATTTTTCCGTGGTCAATATCTAGCTCTGATTTATGGCAGTGTTAGTGATAGCAGTGATTGCCGTTAAAATTTTTTAAGCGTTTTTATATAGCAGAAATTAAAAATTTATTTGAATACTTAGGGTTGGTCGTGAATCCTGCATTTCTTAACTGGGTGAATTCCATTAGACTCTGTATCTTTTCTTTATCTTTTCTGAATGGAGTGAGCGTACCGATGTAGCCTCATTTTTCCCATGACGTTGGGTAATGGTAGGCTGAACTGCAGCTGTTAATGGAAACATCTAGTGAAAGAGATTCAGTAACAACATTGTTTTGATAAATATGAAAATCACGTTTTGAATTGCCACTTTCCAGAGAAGATACTGCTGTTTTATGCAAGTCTGCATAAGTTTGAGTGGCACCTCGCAAGTGGCTGTAGAAAATTAATTTTAACTTTTAAACCAACCAAATGAGAGGAATTGTGGATAAAAGAGAAGAATTAACGATGAGTTTTGCARAACTTAAGAAATAAATTCAGTTCCTGTGGGGGATCTATACAGGTGCAACGATTATCATGTTTATTTTACCTGAAGTGCAAGAGGAAAAGAGCTGACGTAAATATTGGTGCTGTCAAATGTAGCCGCATCATTTTTGCGCGAAGGGAGTTTAATTCATTGCTCTTACCCTGCCTTCTCTATCCCTCCCGCATTCCCACGTTTCCTGCTGGAGCTCCAGGAGGATTTGTGGCTATTCCATTTGGAAGAGGGGGTACTGTTATGTTACCAGGACCTTTCCTTCWAACCTGCTGCTCGGTGGTGAGCCTGGCCCTGGCATGTGGGCATGTGGTAATTTGGGGTGGTCACAGGCTGACAGAATTAGGGGTTCTGGTCTAGACACAGACCTTAGTCCTTTGCCAGTCACTGGCTGATGAATTTAGATATGCAGCTGTTACCAGCAGAAAATTCCAGATAGTTTTTGCATTGTTTTGTGCTTATCTGCAGCCTCCTGAGTGTGGCGAACGTGGCCTCAGCTTCCCTGGTGTGGGAATTTGACAATTCAGGAGCAATTTGGAGGTCCCTGTCCTGCTCTGCGCAGACACACTGCCTGTTCCCTCGGACAGCGCAGGGTTGCGCAGCCTCAGCCATGGGTGAATTTGCTCTGCGTTAGACTGGGGTTTAAATTAGCTTGTTTTGCCTAAATGCACCGAAGCAGGAGCGTTTATCTGGTGCCACAGGCAAAGCAAAGAGCAGCCCCCCGGGGCCTGGGTACCTGCCTCGGTGCTGAACCCGGTACCGAGTCAGCGACACTGGGCTGCAGTGGCGCTGAGGACGCAGGGCTGCCGGGGAGGCAGGGCTGGTCAGTAGGAAACTGACCTTATACCCTGTGTTTCAACGTTTTGGCTTTGCTAGCGATACCTTCGAGAGTGCTGGTTTTGTCGAACTGGAACCCCCAAGCTTCCGTCGTTGGAGAAGGGCCCGATCCCGAGCCGGGTCGGCGCTGGCGGAGCTCGGGGTCGGTGCTCCCGGCCGTGCCGCCGGGTTCTGCTCCCTTCTGCAGCTGTGCAGCAACCGCTGTCCGCTCATCGGCTCACATGTACAGGAGAAACATGGGATGGAAAATAGTTTGACTGCCTCGAATTACCTTTTGCAAATCACTAAGAGAGGCCTCTTTCCTTCCCAAAGCCTTTCCTCACCCTGATGAATCTTCACTGCTCGCCGGACGTCCACACGTTCCTGTGCCAGGCGTTTGTGCCCGCGTGCCTGGAGCAAGCGCACGTGATCCAGCCRTGCCGGAGCCTCTGCGAGAAGGTCTACTCGGACTGCAAGCAGCTCGTGGACACCTTCGGGATCGCGTGGCCCGAGGAGCTGCAGTGCCACAGGTAGGGGCTCCTTTGGGGATGGTGTGTTCCAACACAGCGCGTTTCATCTCTGATAGACCGGRAATCTGACATAACCTGCTAAAAAACCATTTTGCTGCAGGCTCCACAGCAGTGGGGACACGGCAGTGTTAACTGTAGAGCAATATTTTTATTAAACTTTTCCATTTTTATACCRATCGCCTGCATTTGCTATAAGTAATTTTGATGCCAGTTACAACAGTGTTCTGCAACTGTGAGTGCTCTTCACTACCCAGATTTCCAAATAAGTTTTTTTCAGCAAACACTTCAATTTAAATGAAGCATTAAATGTTACAGCATAGATTGCACTCGCTCGTCTCTGGAGACAATAATACGTACTTCACAGGGGGTTATAAATAATTTGCTGCTATATGAAGCATAAAGCGCTCTATTTGAATGCACACACAGCACTAATCACTTAAATGAGCAAATTAAATCTTTTACTTTCCCTGTGCTGCGTGCCAAATGTCTGGGGGTTTTTTTCCACAAGGATTTCACCTTTTTCTCAGAGTTATTTCAGGTGTTTGTTTCAGAGAGAAGACAACTAATACTGTATCTGGGAAGAAGATGGGCACTGTAAAAGCTGTAATGTAATAAATGTTATTTTAAATGTACACTTAAGGTTGGAATGAATGCATATAAATAAAAATCCCGTTTTTATGGGACACAAATGCTTACTGGTTTGACTTGCACATACATAGTGTAGCAACAGTGCTAATCCTAGAGCATTAGTTGTACATGTAGCTCACCTATTTTGTGCAGCTCAAGCCTCGAGCAAGAGAGTATTGAGCAATTTTTAAATGAGCATTATGGAGCTGTAAAATTTGCAAAAGTAGTGATCAGTTTGTTACACCTATTTATTTATTTTTCTTGGCTCTTTCAGTTTGGTAGTTTTGGTAATACTGACATCAACAGTGAGTTATTAAAGTAACACAGAAAGTCCCAGTAACTCCCTAGCGTCGTACGCAGGGCATCGGCAAATCCTTGCTCCTGCCAGCCTTCATTCCGTGCCCTCGAGGGAAATGTGTCTTTTTTACCAGATAATTTGAAGTGCATCTCCGACCATATGCAGTTATTCACATGGAAAAATCTACTGTAAATATTTTTATATGTGTACATATAAAAAGTTTCAGTGTGGGCTGAAACCATAAGAAAAACAATTGTGGTTTGGGTAGGAATTCAAACAGTATTTGACTGCTCTTTTACACTGGAAATAGAGTCTTAAATCTACTGCTTTTTAACATGGTACCTGATTTTGGGCTCATAAGTCATATTTTGCATCATTTCCAAAATTTAATGGTGCGTAAAAGAATATTTTTTCATACTTAGAAAGAATCATAAATTGCAGTTGGTGACGAGGGGCATTGAGATGTTTCTGTTCTGTTAATTCACGCAGACTGCCCAGCTGTGACGAGGCTGCTGCCGCGACCGCTGCCGTCACCGCGGACGTGCCCGGCACGCGGAGGAGCCCGGGACAGACGCGAAGGGACTACGGGTTCTGGTGCCCGCGACACCTGCACACGTCCAATGGGCAAGGCTACAGGTTCCTGGGAATTGATCGGTGTGCGCCCCCGTGCCCCAATATGTACTTCAAAAATTATGAACTGGATGTGGCCAAGAGCTTCATTGGGATAGTGTCCATTTTTTGTCTTTGCGCTACTCTCTTCACATTCCTGACTTTCCTGATTGACGTGAAAAGGTTCAGATACCCAGAGAGACCCATCATATATTACTCAGTCTGTTACAGCATAGTGTCTCTCATGTACTTCATTGGCTTTTTACTTGGAAATAGAACTGCCTGTAACAAGGCAGATGCCAAGCTAGAAGTTGGCGAGACGGTGGTTCTTGGCTCCCAAAGCAAAGCCTGCACCGTCCTCTTCATGGTCCTGTACTTCTTCACTATGGCAGGAACCATCTGGTGGGTGATCCTCACCATCACTTGGTTCCTGGCAGCAGGAAGAAAGTGGAGTTGCGAGGCCATTGCCCAGAAGGCCATGTGGTTCCACGCGGTCGCCTGGGGCATCCCTGGCTTTCTAACCATCATGCTGCTCGCCATGAACAAAGTGGAGGGGGACAACATCAGCGGCGTTTGCTTCGTGGGGCTCTACGACGTGGACGCCTCCCTGTACTTCGTGCTTTTGCCCTTGTGCCTCTGTGTTGTCGTTGGGCTCTCCCTTCTGCTGGCCGGGATCATCTCCCTGAACCACGTGCGGCAGGTGATTCAGCACGACGGCAGGAACCAGGAGAAGCTCAAGAAATTCATGATCCGCATCGGCGTTTTTAGCGGCTTGTACCTGGTGCCGCTCGTGGCGCTGCTTGGGTGCTACGTCTACGAGCTGGTCAATCGGAAAACCTGGGAGACGACGTGGGTCTCCGACCACTGTAACCAGTACCATATCCCTTGTCCTTACCAGGCAAGTAGCAGGTTTCTTTCATTAACACAGCAAGCTTCAATCAAATTCTGACGTGTCACTGTAGGGCAGCGCGGTTTAGCAGGTTACTTTCAGCTTAATCCATTTGCAAACATGCAGTGAGGGGTTGTTTTTTAAGCAAAATGGCAATATCACACTTACTGATCGAAGTGATACTACTCTGCAATTAAATTCCAGCTCACATCTCTCAAAGATTATGTAATCCTGAAGATAGCCAAGCTTCACAATGAAGTGTGTGTGTGTGTGTGTGTACAGCTTTCCACACAGGATCTCTTACTGAAAACACTTGCTCTCTGCTTTCTTGCCTGGTTGTATAGCTTGGTATCCCAGCGCCGAAGGAGAATTTCCTTCAGTTTCTGTTGAAATTGAAAAGTAGGTTCTTGAAAATTGAGTCAAAATTGGATTTAAAATGTTGCTTATAACGAAAAAGTGATTTAAAATCACTTTTATCTCTTTTAATTTAAAATCACTTTTATCTCTTTTAATTATTTTTTTCTGAAGCATAGAAGTTCAAGACACTTAAAATTACAAAGCAGATTTCTAGGATATTTTTTGCATGATGGTTGTCACTTGCAGGCTAATTTTCAGTAAGGTGAAATCATCATCAACAAATATTCCAAGTTTGTTCTAAATAGGTGGTATGTTCTTATTTAGCAATTGGCTTTAAAAAAAAACCCCTCTTTAGAAAGACTTTGGCAGTGCAGCTGTACTTCTGCCTACAGATTCATTTTTTTTGTAAATACATAAAGCTCCCTGTAATCACAAGCGATTTGTGGCTTGTGCCTCTGATTTAAGCCCAAATCAGAAAGGAGCCATGGCTGAGAGAACTGCAGCTTTCTCATGTTATCTTTGATTGCTTGCACTTATCTATAATTTTACTGCCATAAACTACCATTATAAAGAGGACTATAAACACGACCTTGTGGCATAAGGCTCAGTCCTCCCACATTCTTAAATGTCCCGTATATCCCCTCTGCTGAAATAAGTGTAAGCTAAGAGTATCCCAACTGGGAGCCTCCTTGGGTGTTTTTGTTTCCATTAACGTTCTYAACACACGAACTGTCTTCAGTGGGTTTTGAATACAGCTCCATACAACATAAACAAGCAAAAATAAGGTTGACAGTAGCTTTATTCKCTTTAAAGACTTGTCTTGCAACGCTTAAATATAGTAGTTTAGGATAACGTGGCACAGAGGAACATGTGTTCTCATCCTCTAACCTTCTGGAGAGCGAAAGCAGCAGGGAGAGCTGCACAAACACGTGTTTGATCAGACCTGTCCCTACAATAAACAGCACTCATGAACTATACACCAGCTTAGAGTTGCCCTCCTGGTCTTGGCTCGCTCACGGACCTCTTTTTTACATTGATCAGTTCAAAACTAAATAAAAGCAAACTTGCATTGAAGTGAAAAGCGTTACCTTGCTGCCGAAGATGGTGACTTTCATGGATGGAATTGGCAAATAAGTAGATAACGTAAATTAAATTTACAGCATGGGAGGAGAAGATAATAATCTCTTAGCGAGCTAAACGTCTGAGCTCCTGTGATCTCGTTCTGCAAAGAGGTGGATTAACTTTGCAATAAAGAGCAGAGAGCAGCTGTGCGGTTCCCTGCGGCTCCCTGAAGGTGCTGCCTGATCTGATTAACTCCAGCTCATCCCTCGGTTGTTCCCTTCAAGTGCAAGGGCTCAAGCTCCTGCGCACCGACTGCCACCAAAGGACATGTTTGCTAACTCTATTACTGCTAAAATGACCTGTTCCCTCCAAGTGAAAAGAAAAATGTTTCCTTCTAACTCACCTCCTCTGTGTTTTCAGCTATAACCTGCACGCAGACATTTACTTGGCCTCCCTTGATGCTGCATGTCGTGCATTTGTCTGCAGGACAAGCCTGAGCAAGCAGGAGAGAGCCTCTTTCCCATAATTTGTTTGTTTTCTGAACTTCAAATACAGATGAAACATTTTTTTTTCTTTTCTTCTGTGTATTTATTAAACTTCTTTATCTTCTAGGCAAAGGCATTAGCAAGACCAGAAATATTTTTGTTTCTGATGAAATATCTACTGACCTTAATTGTTGGCATTTCTCCAGTCTTTTGGGTGGGAAGTAAAAAGACCTGCTCTGAATGGGCSAATTTCTTCAACAGAAACCGCAAAAGAGAGTAAGAACTTCATTTCATTATTATTCCTGGCTTTTAAAGTGCACATTTTAAAATATGTTGGATATAAGACATTTTCGTTAAGCTCAGGTAGTGAGAGTGTCATCTTTGGGCTCTTGATTTTGGAGCTTAAACGCTGTTTAGGGAGGTAGACAAAATGCCAGCGGAGCCTATGGAAATTTTATGTAGGCAGGGACTTTCTGACTCCCCTCTCAGGAGACCCAAGGTCTGTTCTGTGCTGCTTGTTCTCGTGGAGCAGCGTTTGCTGCTGCCTTTTGTGCTGGCTGGGGGTTTGGTTTCTGTTTCRTGAGGATAGGGAGCTGCAGCCGCCGCCCTGCCTTCCCCGGACCACCTTTTTTTTAAACAGTAGTTCACTTTTATTACTGACTTTTTAGTAAAACTCTATGGATATAAACAGATTCTAAACATAGTCCTATGGTGGTTGTTCTTTTCTTTCTTCCTCATCCCTTGATTGTTTCTTTTCAGATTACTACTTGTGGATTATGAATGTGCTTTTAGATCTCTCTAGTTCTGTGCATTTGCCACACCAGCAGTCTTTAACATCCTTTTGGTTCATATCTGCATTCCTTGATGATGAGCTTGCAGCTCCCTTCCCTTTCCCTTCTTTTCCATTTCCTGTACGTTTTTCTTGTTTCAGATGTTAACAGTTTTCAGCCACAAGATTTTAAAAATAAGTCAATTCTGTAATGTCTACTTTTTTTTTCTTTTTCACTTGAGCAAGGTTTGCATTAATAACTCTAACTTGGTAACACAACCACTTACACGCTARTCCTGCTTTCCTTTCTTAGATGATTAACCCTCAATGCCATTGGAGCTGCTCCCTGAAGTAAGAGATRTAGAAATTGGCTTTAATTGTTCCCCAGACACTGTAACTCTGTTTTCAGATTTTCCCCCCCTATTTTCCATATAATTTTTTTCCTTCTGTTCATTACATACATCCAACTCAGATCACCTCAGTGGTTGCTATTCTTACACATTTTTGGTTTAAGAAACTATATAATATGTTAATTATCAGAAATAATGCTCTTAATTCACACGCCTGTGCCCTCTTTCAGCCCGATCCGGGAGAGTCGCAGAGTGCTGCAGGAATCCTGTGAGTTTTTCCTGCGGCACAATTCCAAAGTCAAGCACAAGAAGAAGCACTACAAGTCCAGCTCGCACAAGCTCAAGGTTATTTCTAAGTCCATGGGCACCAGCACAGGGGCCACARCCAACCACGGAGCCTCTGCAGTGGCCATCACTAATCACGACTACTTAAGCCAGGAAACTGTCGCAGAACTTAAAACATCTGCAGACTCGTCTGAGAAGGAGGTGGARGCAGATGGAGCATCAGCCCCAAGAGGCGCGGAGAGCCAAGACTTGTGTGGAAACCAAGCGTTGTCCAGTTCCAAACTGACTGTGGATCAGGTGGAAAGAAGAAGCAGAGCAGATAATTCATATGAATTGAGCAGCTTGTCTGGGAGCGTGAAGAGAATAGGGGAGGGAAGGTAAGGCTCTGACCTTCCTCTTCGTGCTGCCTCTTTATGTCCTTGCTGCTCCTGCGTGTTTGCTCTTTCTGCTGTATCCGAGGAGTCAGTGTGCGGTCACACCTCGGCTGGCAACAAAGAATGCTCTGATTCTTACATGTTTTTTTCTCTAGGGCCTCGCATCCTGTAGCTTGAGTGAGTAGGGTAATTCTTCAGGATTGTTTTTAAGTGACAAATGCCAGGGCTTTAGCTCTTAGGATGTTTTTCTTTCCAAGATCTTTGAGCTAGATCTGTAAGGTACAGTGCTCCAAAGCTCAACAAGACATGTCAGCTGGTGGCCTGGAGAAATGCATGGCTGCCATACATCCTGGAGGTGAATGGTGTGGAAAAGAACAGACTCCTAAGATTAAGATTATGCAGAACTGCATTGAAAAGAACATAGCTGAGGATGCACTGGTTCTGTTGCTATAAATGTGTTTCCTTTACAGTGTAATGTATTGTGCTCAAAACTGACGTGTTGTGTTTTATTTTTAATTATTTACAGGATAACTCCTAAAACTGATTTTAYTGAGTCTCCTGCATTGCAAAGCAGCAGTTCCCTGATACCCGGAGTCTCTCAGACTGGTTCCATGTCGCTACTTGTCTACTCAGCCTCGGACACCAGGAAGGAGTTGGATTCTGGAAACAGTTTAAACCCCTAAGAGATGGACGTTTTCACATGAACATTTTCAGTTTCTAAAACTGATAAGGATTCTGCATTACACTGGAAATAATGGATATTCTGTGCCTTAAAGATGCATACCATGTTTTGCACTTATAGAAATGTAAGTTCTGTAGTGGGGGCAACTAGCAATAATGTACTGTACTTAATCCCATCCAGGACTAATGGAAAAGGAATTTCCCATAGGACACAGCTGGATTGATTGGCAGTAATTTAAAAGAGTTAAGAGAATTATTATTCTCAATATTAGGAACACTTAAGAACTTGCATTAAAATAATGCATGGGAAGCATGCAGTGTTACTTTTCAAAAGTTTCATCTGCGTCTTCAAAATTTTTAGATCTTGATTAATAACCTTTTAACTCTTCTAACTATGCCTTAAAAGTTTCTGTCACTGAGAATTTGAGATTGAAAGGTTTTACAATCCTTTGCAAGGAGTGTAAAAAAATACAATACGTATTTTAAAATGCAAGTAGAAAAATACAGTACTTTTCAATGTATGTATCAGGATATAGCAATTGTAGCACTGTTATGGTAGTCTCTACACTGAATATGAAAGGGAATGTGGAATTACAGTGATGTTTTTTGTACATAGAAATGAATTATGTAAATAAGTGACTGCTAAAGAGGACTATTTGGAACTCCTGTTGTGTGTGTGCTGTCCCGGCCTGGCGTGTGTGCCCAGCAGGTACCCCAAGGTCTGTGGTGTGAAACAGCGGATCCCGTGGTACGTGATAACGTACAGCACGGAGTGCCCACGGGTGCCGGCGTGGGCAGGCACCAGGCTGGGGCAGCACACGCAGCAGGGCTCGGCACGGGGCTTCCCGGCACCGTGGGGAGGACACGGCCGATACCCAAGGGCTTGGGGACACAGTGGGACCGTTACCCTGTTCTGCCGAGCGCAGTGGGAGCGTCTCTGTCCTCCTTTGTTTCTATGCAACTGGCTGGATTTTTAAAAAAAAAAAATCTGTGTAAAAGGATCTTGCATAAAATAATTTTTGAGTTAATATATAGGCTTCTTCAACACTGTTTTTACTTAAGACCTTAATGCTTTTTCTATAAAGTTAAATTTTCTATATGCTCTAGCGATATATTTTTCTTTAAATCCAAAAGCCCTTAACACGAGTAGCCTTTGTACTGAGAGGGTGGCTTTCAAGAGCGAGGACTGCCCATCCAACTAAGAGTTCCAGGATCCAGATCTGAAGAAATGCTGGGTTCTCTGGCGTCTGTATAATTCCTGGAGGTAGGTGGGCAGCGGGATGTGGCACTTTGTCCCACCCTAGGGGTCAGTGCATTTGCAAGACCGCTCAGCCTGCGGCACTGACGTTACCTGTGGGAACGCGGCGGCTGCTCCATCGGGCAGGGACGTCGCTCCGTGCCGGCTTCCCCAGGGCTTGAGCTGCCGAGCAGGAGGGCTCCACGCAGAGGCCAGGGCAGGGCTGATCCAGCACGTGGTACAACCCTGATAAACCAAAGCTCTGTCAATCACGTGTTAAAAACTGAATGTGTTCACCTTATTTGTCTTCATTTTAGCATCTGTAACTTATTGCCCACCCGAAATAGGACGTGCCATTTGTTTGAGAGTTTGCCCTTTAAGAATATAATATGCAGTACTCTTGCTACTGAAAAATACACTGGAAAAATAGGAAATATCCTCTGTGAAAATGAGCACTAAATACCCTTCACTCTTCTAGTCATATTTGTAAACAGAAAACTTTTTACACACTTTCAATAGTTTTGTTATATTGTTAGTAATAAAATATACTGTTGTATAGGAAGAACTTGGGAGTTGGTGTTTTTCTTATTAACTAGATTTATTTAGCATTTTTATCCCTCTACCACTGTGGTATTTGTGCACTGAAGACTCTTTATGACCTTTGGCAGCTCTAAGTAAAAGTACATTAAACACTTTGATGTTTTTATCCTTCTTGTGTGGGGAAACAAAGCAGAGAAAAATGGTGCAAATTGCCCAAATGCACCCATAGAGCTTATGAAAGAGCAAGAAAARCTCCCTTCAGACTGGCAGGTAGAGCGTTGTCGTACACGTCCTCTCGTTAAAGAGCTCCTTTAGTTTGCAGAGAACATACATTGCCACTATCATCGTGCTAAACTTTCTTAAAATGAATACTCATGCACTTCAAATTTACCTATGTGAGGGGGAAGAAGCTGTGCTTTTCTGTAACTGCTACAAAATAGATGAGTACAAAGACTTGAAGCTACTTGGAAATAGCTGCCATCTTCTAAAGAGCTGCACAATGCTAGCTAAAGAGTTGTCAGAACATTCTTCAAATACGGGCTGTATCCGTGGCTAAACGATGTGCTGGAATTCCGACATCTTAAAATGTTGTTACAGCTGTTGCCAGGCTAAGTTCTTCACCTCTGCAAGAAGCTAAAATAGAGGATACTAACAGGTCTTCAAGCCTTAAAATGCACCTGCCAAGTTACCTGATATTTCTCAAGGTGTCTCTCTTGTAAATTACTTCAAAATGTTATATGCAATTTTCAAGTAATGCACAAAATGTTTCAGTGGACAAGACCTAAGTTGCCATATTTGATCTGTGATACAAGCAGGAGCAGAAATTGCCAGTACAGTGGTTTTATGGGACAATTTGCATATGCTCTGTTTTACTGTTTTGCTGATTTTTTTAAGAGAAAATTGGGGTGTAATTTGCTCAGAGTGTAAAAGAAAGCTATGCAAGTAATTCGGGAAAAATACCTCAAGTTTGCAGAAACTAAATAAGGACATTGGAAAGGGGTTTGTTCTATCTTTATGTACAATATTTAAAAGATGGTATTAGCAGATTATAGGCAAAATATCAGTAGTATTTACAATTTCTTTAAACCCTTTAAAAATCTTCCTTTTGATTTTTTTTTCAAGCAGATGTTTTTTCAAAACAGATGTGGGAAAACTAAAGAGCTAAAACTTATTTCTTTGGACAACTGTTGATCTCATTTACAGAGATCCAAGGACAGAATATCCAATGAAGAAAAAGGACGTAGAATATTTATATATTTTTATATATTTATAAATTATTAAAGGATAGCTTTCAAAATTAAAGAAGTTGGGCTACCTCTACCACAGCTTCATGAGCTGTCTACTCTTTATCTCTACATGTGGGAGTAGGAGTATCTTTCTGATGCACATCTATCAAACCCACGTCTGTACAGATTTTACTTTTCATTGAAGAGTGTTTGAGACCTAAAGCATAATGCAAAGATTAAAAACATGCCATGACATCTATATCTGAATTGTAAAGGTGCTTACTGCCTCTATTCCGACTCATGGAAACTAAATTAAAATAGTGTCACTGCTTTGCCTAGTAAGACTTGAAGCAAAGAAAAAAAACCTCTCTTTAAACCTGCAGCAGCTCCCAATTATTAAATGGTTCGTGGATGGTTTTCCAGCACAGAGCAGCTGGAAAGGAGCAGGGGKTTGAAGAGAGCAATGGTTTCTGCAAGAAGGGCTGTGGTGAAGAGCGTGTTTTTGTGTGTGGAACTGGTGCCAGATGGGCCCTCGGTGCCACTGCTGGAGCACTGATCTCCCGGCAAGGGACTGTCCCCCAGCAGGGCCCTGTGGGCAGGGACTCGACCTGTGACCAGCATCGGGGCGCACAGCGATGGGCGAGAGCTCTGGGCACGCGGGTTACAGGGAAGGGGCAAGGGGACAGCTCCCTTCCCCTCGAGACACACGTTTCGGAGGTGATTGGACATGATTTTGCCTTAATAACTGACTTTTTGTTACTAAAGGGAAAAGCATGGTTCGTGGTGGTCGTGTGTGCACAAACAGCAAAGCTTCTTCAGTCCTATAAAGACACTACGTGTCCCAGTTCATCTTCCTGYCGTCCTGCCTGCCCACGTAACAGCGGGTCACCAGAACTGAACAGACATAGAAGTTAGACCCTGCCATGTGGAGGAAAAGATGAATAAGTTATTTATTTAAGCTGGGAAGGTGTTATTCCGAAAGCTACCAAAGAAAAGACTGTCTTATCCAGGGGTATGCCCAAATCCTGAAGGACTCGGGTGATGACACCGATTTTGAGGGGGATGGAGCAGCTGAAACTGTTCCTTGGCCCTGGGTGTGAATCACTGACCTTGGCCACTGGACAAAGTCCTCCCTTGGACTCGCTCTCTTTCCACATGGGTGCAGGTCTGGGTGCCATCCTGGCRTCCGGCTGAGGAGCAAGTGGACTTGAAATGCTTCAATTGCAGCATTTTCACTACCTCGAGGTAACGTTTTACAAAGCTTGCGGAACAGATCTTTGGCAAATCAATGGTATAGAAGAAATAACCTTGTTCCCTCTGTTGAAGAAGCTACTTTCCTACGCAAGTAAGAGCATTGAAAACTACATTCAAATTTACTGTCACGGGACTCAACATATGATAATTCCCCAGCAAAAACAGCCAAAGTAAAGATATTAAAGATATTATATTACAGATATAAACTAAAAGATATTAAAAGGGATAAAGGCCATGATCTCTTTGATTTTATGGTATTTTAAAGAGGAGATTTTTTTGAAAGAAATAAAATATATTTATTAAACCTGTAATATATTTTCCAGAGCAGCTTTACTTTGCTTCTGTACTGCAGCTGACTTTGGTTTTCCTCTTTCTGCCGTACAGACTGTTCTTTGTTTCCTCGATCAGACAGTCAGGCTGCAAAGAGCCATTTGAGAAATTCAACAGTCTCCTCTGATTTCAGCCTTTTACATCCTTGATGCATTTTCCCCTACCCCTTCCTCTAACATACCGAGCATTTGAAAGGAAAACAATATGCCCCCGCACTAACTCAGCCTCCTGCAACTGCTGCTTACCCACAGCACCAGTCACAAACGGAGCATGAGCTGGATGGTGAGCTCCGTGACCAGAAGCGCCTACACGGTAGGTGAGGACGGCGTGTTGTGGTGCCGGGCACGGCGGCGCGTGCCCTGAGCCCGGCTGCGTCGCCTCCAATCCCAGCAGAACTGCAGGGCGGGAGATTTTAGTGGCATCTAAATGGCAGATAAACGACCCTCATCACCCTTGCTGATGCAGGTGTCAGGCCACACTGAAAAGGAACATTCTGCATCATCTAACAGTATAGGTTTGAGGAACAAATCASTAGTTGACATATAASAGCTCCTGCTATGAAGACCGTTTTTCTTAACAGCCTTTCTCTAACAGCCTTTTTTAAGAGCCTTTCTTAGCCTCTTCTAGCCTAATTTGAACTTCTCAATTTCAAATTATTTTAAAGAAGATTAGATTATCACTCTCTTTCAATTTGAATATCTCACCCAATATTCAACAACAGTGACTGTCCTCAGATGTACCAGCAGCATTTAAGTACGTCAGAGGTACAAAGCAAAAGCCTTGCAGATGGCAAGAACCTGATCGGATGGAACCAGGCTGTGGAAGATGTTTGTTTTTCTGCTTTCCAGATGGGAATTCACATTGCAAGTCAAATAAGCACGAGGAACCACTCAGTACAGTACTGGAATTTGAAGCAGTCATTCACTGTTGGGAYCTTCTTGAGCAGCTTTCTTCAGCTTCCTTCCTCTGGAAGGATCAGTGATTTTGGACCTCAAGTGCCTCCTGTGCTCTGGAGGAACTGATATGCAGGAAGGAATTAGAGAAAAAAGAGCYCAAATCCCTTAAAAGGGACCTAAGGAATGCTGTAGTGGTGAGAGAACTCAAGGAAATGCCCACAGATGTACATGTAAATTCTACATGTACCTCCATCTAAAAGAGGAGGGATTGCACTGAGAAGGTCTTCAATGCTGCTGTGCTGCACACTTGAGCTATCACACATCTGAAGAAATTAATGCAGCAACAGAAACTTGGTGATCTGGGAAAAGGCGAGCTGCAGTGACAGTCATTGTGGATGCGGGGAATCCTTGGGCACTCGGATCATGATGTCCCTCTTGTGCGAGCAGACACATGATGGAGAAGTCAACGGTCCTCCTCCATGAGAGCATCCTGAACTCCGGCATGGACACGCGCTTGTGTAATGACTGTTCTGCATGTACGTGTTCGTGGGGATGGATCAAGGCTGCCACAGGAGCAATTACTGTAATTACGCATTTACATCAACCATCGCTTTTCCCAACGGGTTTAGGGAACAGTTCCCTACAAAGCACACATAGTAATCCCTGCCTCAGGGAGACGGGGCTGGCACGCAGGACTCCACATCACACGGTTTRTAAGAGTGTCCAAGGGCCCATGTCGTGTCCGGGGCTTTGCGGCACTCAGGGGATGCGGAGGCGGGACGGCGAGGAAGGGCCGTGGGCTACGGAGCCGAGGCAGCGGCGCAGGCAGCGCAGCGCACCGAGGTTCAGCGCAAACAGGAACCTGGCTCTGCACGCCTGCAGTGAAAGGCTCAGTGTCTTCTAACTTACATTCCTACATGAAATATGCATTAAATACCTCAGGAAAAAAAAAAAAAAAAAAAAAAAGCATTGAAGTGTATCCTCCCTATTGGAAACGCTACTGCTGCAAATCCCACTAGGACTGCAGCATTCCTGAGTTATCTCCCCAGTATCCCTTACTGCTATTTAATATTCAAGGAGACGAGGCATTCCTTATAGCACTTTTATGCCTGGTGTGACCCAAGCATGAAATGTTATTTCAAATGCAGGAAAAGGGGACAGTTTGTGCTGGGCATTTTCTTGTGTTACTGAATCAACAGCGTCCAGTGGGCTGGGGCGCTCCATGAAAATCTGACTCGCTGCTGCGGTTTTGGCAGGATCTGCTTTTGCAGGAGGGCTGTATTCCCATTACAACTAAACCGCCCGTTTACACGGAGGTGTTTTAGCCTTGCTGCTGCCCACGCAACAAGAGGTTCCTGCAGGGACCTTGGGCCGCCTTTCACCTGGGAACCCCTGGAAAACAAGAACAAAACAAAGTCGAACAAAACCCAGCACCTTTTCACCAGAATTGTTGGGAATGCCGGGCGGGCTCGTGGAGCCAACGGGGCCGTTTCGGGCCCGCGCGTCGCCGTTTCTGGCCGCCGCCTCCCCGCGCCCGCCATGGCGGCCGCTCACACGACCCTCACGTGGCCCATGTTCGAGGCCCCGCCATGGCGGCGTGGCCCCCTGCCTTGGCGGCTGCCCCCCGGTCATGGCGGCTGCCCCCGTGTCCCCCTGCCCTTGCGGCGCTGCCCCCGGCGCTGCCCCCCGCCATRGGGGCGCTGCCCCCCGYCATGGCGGCGCTGCCCCTAGTACCCCCGTCATGGCGGCGCTGCCCCCCGGCTGGCGCGGCCCGCGGGGGCGGGACCCCCGGCGCCGGCGGCTGCGGAGCCGGCTCCGCCTGGAAGTTCCTGCTCGGTTAGCGGATGGAAATTCGGGGCCTCCCCGGGGAGGGAGCTCGGCCCCGGCGCTCTCAAAGCGCCATTGATCGCGCAGCGCGGCGGTCGCGTCCCGCCGGCAGCGCCTGCCCGCGGCCCGGCCCGGCCCGCGCCATGCGCCCCGCCGCGCTGCTGCTGCTGCCGCTCGTGCTGCCGCTCGTGCTGCGCGCCGCGCCCGCCGCCGCCGACGGCGCCAAGGGCAAGCAGAAGGCGCTGCGGCAGCGSGACGTGCTGGACGTGGTGAGTGCGGCGGGCTCCGCGGCCCCGCGCGGGGAGCGGSTCGCTGCGGGAAGGGCGAATGGAAGGAGGAGGGGAGGGAAGGGCGCCCCTCGAGCAACCCCCGGGTCCCGGCAGAGCCGCGTGTRGCCGCCCGCGGCACCCGCGTTGTCCCATTCCTGCGTTCGTCCCGTTGGGCGTGCGGGGCTGCGTAGCCGCGCGCTGCAACGGGACACGCGAGCGCGCCGGGACTGGCCCGTCTCGCGGCTGGGGAAGGGGCTGGGAATTTTTCCAGCGCTTGGAATGCGAAAAGCAGATGTGCGGCGTTTCCAAGTGCTGCCGGAGAGCCATTCCCTCCTATAGAAAACCCATGGCGCAGAGAGCATTTCCACCGTCCCCAGAGATCCCCCAGCGCGACGGCCATCCCATTCTCCTGGCTTCAGTGGCCTTTACTTGTTGAGTTGCACCACGGATAAAGCCTCTGCGCTCACGGGACAGCCCGGGTTTAGCTGTTTCATGTATATTCAGCTGTATTTAAGGGTCCCTCGTGCTGGGCATTTCTGTGGCGTTGCCCTGGGTGTGGTGGCCGAGCCGCATTGCTCGGATAAATACATGGGGGCTGATTCATCCCGACTCCTGGTGTGCAGCCGCTTGCAGCGAAAGCAAACTCGCCACAGAGCCCTCAAAGAGCAGACTGGAAAAAGAGACCTGTGTGAGCGGGACGGTCTCCTTTTGAAAGATGCTTTATGCATTCCCAGCCCAGGAGAAACGTGTAGGAATACTTAACTTGGCAAGCGGATGGATTGAGTTGGAGCGGAGACTGGAGCCCAGGTGATCCCTTTGCTGGCGTTAATGGGTTTTTGTGCCGCGGTTTGAGCCCTYGGGGAAAGCAGGGGGAGCGAGGGGCAGCTCGCGCCCGGCGGCGGCGCCACGGGGCCCAGGATGTCGCCGTGCGAGGGGCAGCGTCTTTGAGTGCCCCGCTCAGCTGTCTGCATGTAAAGCGCGGCCTAAGAAACAGTCCCGGCTCAGAAGTGAGGCTGGTTCTGCGCCTGCTCCCGCTGCCCCATCCAACCCGGCTCCCGAGGGAAGATGAAACCGCGTCTTCCAGAGCAACTCGTCACCTCTCGTAGCGCCGCTAACCCCGTGGAGGACATCGTGGTGTGCAGGTCTTCCATGCCTGCCGGGAAGAATACGGGCRGGAATGCTGAGCACAGGTTTAGTGCAATGCACGGCTCCCCAAATCCCTGTCCACATCAATATGTATCTGAAACGCACTCTTTATGGGCACTCTGAAGGCTGCCTGGGTCCTGCTGGACCAGGGGGAGTTGGCACCAAAGGGATAGAGCAAAAAACCCGTGAGCCTCTGTTTTGTGTGAAATACAAAGTTTCTATACTTTAAAAAAGAAAAAAGGACCAAATTATTGTAAAAGATTTGACAAGACAGTTATGCAAGCAGTGGGGTGACAGGAAAAAGTAACTATCAAAATGGAATTTTTGTTTTTGGTTTTCTCCATAGTCCACTATTGTGGTTTTAATCCTTGCTCTAGGACAATTTCAGATCTTCTTTAGGAGTTAGTATTTATGCATTTTTTTATATATAAAATAGTTGAAGTCATAATTCACAGTAAATTCTGCTTATATTATTGATTTACCCTTGCAATTATTTTATCCTTTTTCTACTTTGTCCCCTGCTGGAACYGTTTTCTCGTTGGTCCAGAGAAAACCACCTGCAGGAGCTGGAATAATTTGTTGGGGGGCAGTGGGGCGCATGGGAGCCCCCCGGCAGAACCCCCAGCMCCCGTCATGTTTTGCAGTACAACGGGATGTGCTTGCAAGGCCCCAGCGGAGTTCCGGGGCGCGACGGGAGCCCCGGCGTGAACGGCATTCCCGGGACACCCGGCATCCCGGGCCGCGATGGCCTCAAGGGCGAGAAGGGCGAGTGCATGCGGGAGAGCTTCGAGGAGTCCTGGACGCCCAACTTCAAGCAGTGCTCGTGGAGCGCCCTGAATTACGGCATCGACCTGGGCAAAATAGCAGTAAGTGGCCTTTGCCAGGGGTGTTTTGCCAACTAAAGCAGTACCTCGGTGGTKTGCAAATGTGGCTGCAGGTCAGAGAGATCTCTACAGAGATCCCCCTCTCAACACGTGAAGTTCTTGAAGATTCCCCTGTTCCATCTCAAATGTGTTTATACAGTTTCCACCATGTGCCCAGTTGTTTATTTCTGTAGCGGTGTCTCCAAAAGGTGAGGCAGCTGCTTTGGGAATGCTTTTAGAAGACCAGGTTTGGCTTTTCACATCTGTGGCTGAGGAGCTGGAAGTGACGCTACATAAAAAGTTCCTCCATAAGTAGGGCAAGATTTTCACCACATTATAAGGTATAAGGAGATACCTCAGAATGGTCATTGAAAAGAATTACTGAAGAAAGGATTGGGGTTGTTCAGGGTGAGAATTAACAAACCCTCCCCAGTTCAAGCTGCCTTTCCCATCCTGTGCTACAGCCCTTGGGTACAAAGCTTGCAAACACAACAGCACAAGTCTAAAGAGAGCTGGAAATCCCAAGCCAGCAGGAGCAGTGAGGTCCAGCGAGGAGTTGAGTGCAGCCTCCCAGTAGCTCACAGCACTGTACATAATCCCCAGGAGGTAGCGACTAGGTTACCAGCTTCCCAGCAGGTATTGTCTAATTAAAGTTCAGAATTTCAGTAGTCCCTCCTGCCTGCTATCCTCTCTGAGGTGCCTTTTCTGATTTGCATCAYGCTCTATTTGCCTGAGAGCACTTTTTGTGTGGGGGTGAGCGGYGAGGGGGGACGGGGAAAAGGAATAAAGACTGTAGTCAACACATTCTCCAAACAATTCCAGCAAATAGGTTGGAAATCCAAAGTTGCTGCTTGAACCACTTTTGTCCCCTGCTAGGAATGCACGTTCACGAAGATGCGCTCCAACAGYGCCCTGCGCGTGCTCTTCAGCGGGTCGCTTCGGCTGAAATGCAGGAAYGCCTGTTGTCAGCGCTGGTATTTTACCTTTAATGGAGCAGAATGTGCCGGGCCTCTTCCCATTGAAGCCATCATATACCTAGACCAGGGAAGCCCCGAGCTGAATTCCACCATTAACATACACCGAACCTCTTCAGGTACGTCTGCCCAGAGCGCGTCCCCAGAAACGCTCTCCTGGCTCCTCTGGTTGCCAAAGGGGCAGAGGACACAGACCCTGCTGTAGAAGTCAAAAAGCAGACGGGTGGTCAGTTAATGCTTGTTCTCTTGTGTAACTGACTGTCAACAACAGTAACAGGATTGGAATCGCTTATAAATAGTTCTTTTCACTCTGGTATTTTTCATGATACTTTACATCCTGTAATTTAGAAATGGAAGAAGGTTCTGATGAGAAGCTTTTACCACATGCGATGTGGTAAAATTGCATTGCTGCCAAGCAGAAAGTGTTTCAGCCTGAATTGCAGTACTGGTATTTGCAGTTATCTGTGCAGAGCTAGACTAGACTTAATCCTCTAGGAATTTTTACCATAMTTTTTGGCTGAGATGCAAAAGCACCTCAGAAGTGAAGTTACTGGCTAAGCAAAAAACAAATTAGTGAAGTCATTGCAACATCAAAGGGTATGATACTATGAAAAGGGGGTAAATGTATTAGCATGCAGCCTGGACTCTAGTTTTTTGATGGTTGCTGGTTATACTCTGAGAAACTGCAGTAAAACCAAGTGTGCTGCATTAACCTAACAGATTTACAGCTATGGAAATTTCTCACAGGAGCTCAGTGGTTTCAGCTGTACGTGCTTCTCAGAGCCCAAGATTTCTGCCTGCAATGGAGCTAAATAACTGTGAGCCAGCAGCACAGCTCTTCACAAAAGTCCATTTTCCTCCCCGTAAACAGAGCAGAGCTTCTGCAACACTTTTCCTTGTCCCTTGAGGGGCAGAGCTCGCGTGTCCTCATGAACCCACCTGCAGCAGCGATGCCCACGGTGGAAGGGGCGCAGTGCGACAGGGCTTGTGGCCCTTCTGCTGCTGTCCCCACCTCCCACCCCAGCTGTCTTGTTTCAAAAAGAGCTACCTGGGTGGGATTGAAACCACGTGCCAGCTACCAGGTCATCAGCTGAAGTATTCCAAGGAGATAGGCCTTCTATTTAGACATCCCAAGGATTACTCTGCTTCAGGTCATGCAACAGAGACCAACAGGGCACACAAGTTCTCTGCTTATGTTGCCACATTTTTTTTTTTTGGTCTTAAAAAATTGTTTAAATGTAATTAGAAGAGCACAAACTTGCAATGTGTTGCTGCTGCTAAATGCTTGCATCCGGCCTTGATTTATGCAGTGCAGTGGTGGGGATGGTATCTACTATGGTAACACGATTTTCCACAGAATCCCAGAATGTCTGAGGTTGGAAGGGACCTCTAGAGACCATCCAGTCCAACCCCCTGCTCCAGCAGGGACACCCGGAGCACGGGGCACAGGGCGGCATCCAGGCGAGTTTGGAGACCTCCAGAGAAGGAGACTCCACAGCCTCCCTGGGCAGCCTGTGCCAGGGCTCTGTCACCCCCACAGGAAAGAAGTTCCTCCTCACATGGAGATGGAACTGCCTGAGTTTCAACTTACACTCATTGCCCCTGGTCCTGTCACTGGCCACCACTGAGAAGAGCTTGGCCCCTTCCTCCCTACATTCTCCCTTCTGCTATTTATACATATTGATCAGATCCCCTCTCAGCCTTCTCTTCTCCAGGGAAAACAGGCCCAACTCACTCACTGTCTCATTATACGATAGATGCTTCACTGCCTTAATCACCTGTTTTTGATGATTTTTTTTTTTAATTTTTGTCTCCTAACAGTGGAAGGTCTGTGTGAAGGGATCAACGCTGGCCTCGTGGACGTGGCCATCTGGGTTGGCACTTGCTCAGATTACCCRAGGGGAGATGCTTCCACTGGATGGAACTCAGTCTCCCGTATCATCATTGAGGAACTGCCCAAATAACTTTCCCCTCTCCCGATTTTTTTTTAGTATTTTGTATTTCTATAGAGGTGGRTGCAAGTATTTGACTAAAATGCAGCAAATTCTTGCATCCGTAGTGTTTGTCTACCTTCCTTTTTGGTACACTGAAGAAGCTTTTATCATAATCATTTTAGAATATAAATATCTGAAACAAGGTAGTTTTTTTTAATTCATTGTTTGGACTGAAATACGAACATGTATCACCATTTTAAGAATTGTAACTTTTTTATATCGAATAAATAAGACCTTTTACAAAAAATAATCAGGCTCTTTTATTGGTCAGCAACCTGTTTAAGTACATGGTCTTACCATAGACATTTGTTTTAGAAGCCTTCAGACAAAGCTCCCGTCTTTGCTTTAGCCTTCACAATACAGACTCATTTGTACAGTTACAAAATTTACATTTCCTTTCTCCACTGAAATGAAAACTAATTCTCTTGGATACAGCCTGTCAACTCTACCAAGCACTTTGGGGTTAATTAAGAGCTGGGCAGATGCAGTCRTTTGGAAGCTATGGAAATAACGTTGCAGTGCCTTGGCTTGCAAGGAGGGTACTGGTAAGCTCAGATGCTGCAGATATTTAATGCAGCCTCAAGACTGGGCAGAGTGGTTAGCACTGATCCTAGCAGGGCATTGGCAGCAGCAGTTTAAGTGTTCTCTTCCCAAAATAAGTGCTCGTGCTCATTGCTCTTCCAAGACACGCAAATTCTAAAGGGAGACAGTCATGTTTACATTATTTCATTAATGAGAATTTGGTTTTGTAAAAAACAAGTAGATAAAATGCATGTATAACATGCAGAAATACAAATTGCTTCCGGAAATTAAAAAGAAACGCATTAAGTCTAAGTTGTTTAGCCACAACTTTTTTTTTCCCCCCTATTTTGACCAGGTTGTAAGGTTGTCCCCGGGCTTTTGCCACGGGCCAGCTCTGGGCTGCAGCTTTTTAAGGGGCATTAGAGGGGCATGSGGGAAGGTGGGAGAGCGCGGAGGCCCTGCCCGCTCCGTGGCRGCACGGGGGTGACAGGGCTGCCGCCCGGCCCGGCCGAGAGCTGCGGGAGCTGCTGCCGCTTCCCTGCGCCCGGCGCGTGGGCTCTGCGTTGAGAGCACAGGGCAGTTCCTGGGAGCTGGGCTGGGCTACGCGCCCAGTTAATCACGGGCTGCCAGTTCATGGACAGGAGCTGATCGTGCACCTGCCTGCAGCCTCCTCTGCATTTATCCTGCAGCATGAATAAGCTGCCCTGGGCATAGGCCATACTGACTGGCATAGTGTCAATTCTGTTCTTATGATATAGATATGTACGTCCATAACTTCATAATGTATTTTGCATCTTGGATGGCCGAGTTTTAACTCAATGTTCCATTAAATCCCTCTTACGTACTTGAAGACACACAAAACCAAGAAAAAAACTCCTAAGGCACAAGAAGTTAATGACTGTTAGCATTAGGGACAGGAATTTCACGGTAAGCTTTAGGTAAAGTTCATTTTCAAATACACAAAAAAGCTTTTGCAAAAAACAACCAACAAACTAACAAACACCCCAGGTCAGCCCTACGGGCCACGTGTCATCATGTCAGATGAAATACCACAGTAYATTGCCAAGTGCATCTGATTGGGACGTGAGATCAGGGGAGCAGAAAGTATACATTTAAATAGGTTAAAAGCTAAGCCTATGTATCACATGCCCATAGTATCAGTTGAAGCAAACAAGTGGATTGCTTGGTGCAGATTCAAAATACAGAGAAGCTTTTGACATTTTCTAAGCTTTAACATACAAGTGAAAGCAATTTCCAGAGCTCTGCTTTAAAAGCCTTATTTTTGGGCTTGATCGTCTTTCTGTTATCCAGCAAACTTCTCCTAATGACTATCTGGGTGCACTGCTGGATAGTAGATAGTATCCTCTGCTCTTTATGAACCTGATTTTTCCCTCTTGCCTGTTGATAATCTCTGCTATGTTCTTTCCTCCTCAGTTAAGCTGCTTCTTGATCCCTTTATGCTAACAGCAGCAGCAGCAATCTAGACAGTAATGTATTTTCTTAACAGAAAACACCCCCAAAACTACACAGCCTTGACAGCAATTTTTGTCATGCAAGTAAATACTATTACTCAAATTGACTGAGATGCATTTTTTAGAATCCCTATTTCTCAAATAATAATATTAAAAATGACCAGGGTCATCTTTGCTCTTTTTTATTTTTTTCCCAGTGCCTTGAAAACTGCAAAGTATTTACATAGTTACTAAAAAACCCCAAACTTTGTTATGTAACCTGCTTTTAATATTATTTGGTCTGACATTAGTGATGGAGACTGAATGTCTTGGAGAGACAAAGAAGGGTAAGTGGCCAGTGATGTGCCACTGACTTTGGTCTGGTGTTAAAGATGAAGCAGCCAAAAACCACCCTGCAAGTCTGTCTCAGTAGCAGACAAGAACTGTATTTCATCAGATCGGCCATTATTCAAAAAAACAAGAAAGGAGAGCTGGCTGTTTACAAAACACAGTGAGTTTCCAAGCTGCAGCCTGTGGAGGCAGCGTCTGGGTTGGACGAGCATCAGCCTGGAGCACTAACCAGCACCTTCCATACAGGTGGATTCAGCAGACTCCAAACAACGCTGTGAACAACTCCATCCATACTTGCTTGGTGAGACACAGAAAAATACTCTGTATTTGACATTTTAGCTGAATCCAGAGTGCCTTTGATGTCAGTTTTCACTCCTTCCAGTCCCAGTGCTATTTCAAGTAGCAGAGAATTGTTTCAGGTAGACACTGCTGACCCCGAGGAGTGAGCGCGGAGCAGCCTGGGCGCACTCAGCAAAGGAGACGGAAGCCGGATGGATCTGCACAGTCRTCTCCTGGTTCTCCCCTCTTGGCACTACATCAGCTCACAGTGTCCAACCAGACTGCTGAAGTAAGGCTCTCGCAGATCATAAATATCAAAAATAAAGGATAAATCCTTCTAACACAAGCTTGTACCTTTAATTATTTTCCTTTCTAAAACCGAGTAAAAAACTAGATACATTTTCATACACGACGAAGGTAATACAGCAGGCAGGAGTCACTCTGATCACATTGGCAATAATTCCTTTGTAAAATCCACGAATTCCTTCTCTCCTTTAAAGACACAGAAAAACATTTAATGTACTTCAATAGAAATTAGATATAAAACAAGTTATGGTATTTTTCTTTCCCTCTGAGTGTGCACCTTAGGTTAGGAACAATGATGTCAGCATTATTTTACACAAAATGTTTTAAAAGATGCGATATATCAATTCTTAGACCACCACTTTCTCTTCTGAGCAAACAATAGGACATGACTAATTCAGCCTAGACTTTGAGGTGGTTTTTTTTTAGTATTTTCTAAGTTGGAGTATCTTTCTTTATGCAGCAAGAAATGGTTAAAATACCTGAAATTTCTGCAGCCTGTTCCAAAAAGCGTTTACATATTTAATCTCACTGAAGTTGACAGGGCTGAAATGCCTTGTGATTCTGTGTTGTGTAACAAGTGAGCTGAGGGTCAGTACAACTAAGACAAGTCAGCTGCAAACACTGGCTTTCAATTTTAGAGAATTAGGGCATTTCTGATCTCCCTGGCTAGTAAGAGAGACACCAATCCCCCTCAAATTGAATCACAATGGTCATGTTAGTTTGGGCTACTGAACAGTGTTAGAAAGTTTCACAGAATCAGTTTCAAGTACTTCGTTTTCGGCTCCACACTGCCTTGCTTCCTAGGAGTCTAGGACACCTGGAGGGTTTTACGGCCAAGGCAGGCCTTGGGAAGGGCTCAGGCAGGGTTTATACTCCCCTCCTCAGTGCTCTAGGCTGCATTTATTTGTTTCATATTAATACTGGGCCCAGACTGGCTGCCTGTGTTCACGCTGTACTAGAACTAAGGAGCCTTCCTACAGAGCACAGTGTTGAAGTGCACCCTGCTGGGACATCAGAGCTATTCTCACTAACCGCCACCCTCAGCCTGGATGTTTTGTACAGCCTCTGCAGCAGAGCTGGCCCTGGGACAACACAGTCTCATTTATGCGGCACCTCTTATTATCCCAGCAAGTTGCCAATTTATCTGTGTCTTTCTCAGGATAAGCTGCAATCCAGAAACGCTGTTGAGGGCAAGGTGAATASAGGTTGTGTCCTGCAAGGATGGCCAATCTTTGCAACTAGAGTTGTGCAGTAAAAACCTTCACATTCCCTGAGAAATTGAGGAAAGACACACACCTGGGAGAAGACACAGAGCTGTGAAGAAACAGCTCTCTAAACATCGTACAGGAAGCTGGGCCTAGACTAAAAATGCCACAGGGTAACACAAGGGCATGGGGATGAACGGCTCTGGCTGGCACTTCCTTCTGCCAGGGATATGGATCAACCATAACGACCCTCTCACCATATGAGGTAATCTGAAGCGTTTCAGTGAGATTGCCCTAAGAGACCCTAAATGGCCAATTTACTATTATTTTTTAATCTTGCTAATCTGTAAGAGAAATTTGTTGAAGAAGACAGGAAGGAGGCAAAATAAAAAAAAAAACAGAAGTCTGCAGGCTAGCCCTGATCCTCACCTATCCTGCTTTGTCCTTAGATCACTGCTTTCAGTGGCCCCCAGCTCAATATGACTTTGTGCAGCTAACATTTTGTTTGCTCTGGGCTGCCCTATAGGTCAGCAGCACAAAGTCAGTAAATATGGCTCTGATTGCCTTACCTAGAAATTTTTTCCCCAGATACTTCCCAGATTTGACTTCTCATGCTCACCTCCACGTCCTGCGGATCACGTCGAGCACACCAGAGTAGGTGTTATGCTGATCCTGAAGACGAGCTCGTACAACTTGATAGGGATATGTTGCTGACACAGCAAATATTTTGGATACAGCTGCCGTGGTTATGTATTCCACAGTGTTCTAAAAGCAACACAAATTGCAAAGCTTGCTATCATATGATTTAGATTAGCCACTTTCCCAGAATCTTATATAATTTTTGCAACCTGAACTCTAGATTTTTCCCCTTTAAATAGCAGCACAATTCAAAAAACATCAATGTTTTATCCAACACCAGGACTAGCCAGCTATGGATCACTTATAATAGAAAAGTGAAAAAGTCTGATATGTTATTTTATTTATTCACTCCTATTAACCTATCAATCCTTYGTAAACATGGCCATTCTGTGACCTGAAGAAATGTAGCACATCTTCAGTAGTTCACAGGCCGCAGTAGGTTTTCACTCTCAGTAACCTTACCAGCTTTTTGTCTGGGAGTCTGTTCCTATACTTGTTGTATCTCAGTTTCAACTCCTCATACGCCATGAATTGAAGTGCTCCATGTGAAGTTCCAAACAGACCTGGCACAAATCCCTAAAGCAAGGAATAAAACAAGGTTAAACCGCAGCCCACAGAAGTCTGCACAAGTTGCCAGAGCTCAGTTTAACTGCTCCGCCAATCCTTTACAAATGTGAACATGCATTTGTTGCTGTGCAGAATGACTCAAAACCCACAGTGGCCAGTTTTCTTATAGTAGGCATCACACAAAAGTGCAGTAAATGTTCACAGACTCCACACAACTTACAGACTAAGACACCTAAAGAACAATCAAGGTAAAATAAGTGGCTTAGGGACTTAAAACCAGCAAAGTACAAGTGTAGGTTTTAAACCACTCACGATATGGATCAGGACAGTAAGGATACAAGCAGTTTATGCTCTTGTAAAGGTGCTGCAGAGTGTCTGTCCCTTCCAGGGACTGGGCTCAAGCCCATTTATTTCCACCTGCGGCTGCTGTGGCAGCTACAGACACCCATGCATCACACGAGGACTGCCCTCAGGAGCAGAGGCCAAAATAGCCAAAAAGCTTATATTCTACATTCTGCTTTTCCCTTATGATTCAGCCTTTTTACTGCAGTTATTTAGTAGGGAAGAAGACTCCCCCCCCCCAACAAGTCCTACAGCACTGCAGAGTGTGACACGGTGACAGCCCATCCTGGAATTTTCTGAAATTGTATTACCTTATACAAGCCACGTATGCCCTCTTTCTTGTATATCTTCTGAAGAGCATCAAGCATGCCCTTGTACTGCCGCTTGGATGGGTCAACACCAGCGTCGTACTGCAACACGAGGCGAGTCTTCGTTACCCATATGGGGTTTGTAATACAGAGGGTCATGGCTCCTAAGAAAAGAGGAAAATTCGACTGACTGTTAGGCCAACCTTAAAGCTCGTCCCAGCTTCTTCAGCTCACTGCACCATGGGCTTCTACAAGGACAAGACTAGCATCCTAAAAGACTGCTCCTAGTACTTAAACCAGGCAAAGTTTAGGCACAGCACTGTTCTCTCTCTCTCTGCTTTCAAATTTCACATCCAAGTTCAACTTACTAGTTGCACTAGTAGAATCCATTGCGTTCTTTTTACTGCCTTTCAACCATCAGCAGTGTAATCTGTACTAGACAGGAAATTAAATAATTTCATATTGTGCTTTGATTATCTTGATTAGTATTCATATGTATAWTTTTTCAAAATTTAGTGGATACCTTGATCACGACTAATATGCTTACCTATATTGCTATGATAACATAAGCAACTTGTATCTTTATAATTTATTAAAAAYGTGATAGTTAAACAGCTAATTTCTTTTTTCTACATTAAACAACATAASCTACTTAACAACTAAATTGCTGTAGCATCTTAATAAAAAGTCTTCTCAATTACCTAGATTAGTATGTATGAAACAGAGACACATATAAGAACATATACTAGAAATAAAGTAATAAAAGTCAGCTTGATAAAAATGTTATTTTTATTTTAGATTTATAGTTTYTAAGAAAACTTGGAGCTTAAATTGAAAGATTTTCAAGGACCAATGATCAAATTAGCTCTTCTACTAACTGCAATAAGCCTTCTCTTTTCCAAGTSTAAGTGTTTAAGATGTAATGGGTTAGCATGCTCACAGTACGTTATGTAGCTTATGCTTTTGCACTTAAACTAGTACTACTAGTGGAAAACACACACACATACACAAGAAAAATAAAAAAGGTCAGAAAGTATTTTAACAGCTGCTAATTCTGAACAAAACTAAAGATCAYATCCATCCATCTTACATTCACATATTGTTTGCAAATAAATGAATGACGTTCATTTGGACTGAAACACACTTGCCACCTGTAAGAAAAAGCAGCACTGACAGACAAACACAGCACATGGACAGGCTAGAAACAAACATTAATCATCTTTGCATGCAACTCACCTGCCTCTGCAGCTGACACCAGGTGTTCGGTTGCACTTAGACTTTCCAGCYTCCCTTCCTTTTTGTAGGCTTTGATGGCATTGTAACTGGAAATCACAAGAGAGATTTTGGTAAAAGAAAAAACATAACTAGGTACATAAGGCACATAACTAAAAAACAATCCCCACATAAAAATCACTTAGGAGCTGATCAGGAAAAGCATTACGCGTCATTTAATCTTGCAAAACAGATGTGTAAGGAAAATATCTGTTGACCTGATTAACTGCTGAACAGTTGATTCTTAAAGTGAATTATAGTAATACAAGTTTAAATTGATGAACTATTACTGTCAGAAGCAACACGACTACATCTCAAAACAGTTATCTGTAAAGATAAAGTTATCTTTAAAGAAACTGATTAGATAGTCCCCCTTTTATTTAAAGAGAGTGGCAGGTATCTATTTTGTAGCTCAGATATACACTGAACTTTCTCTCAACCCCGTTTCTAGTCTTGCCATCTGCTTGGTGGACTGAGAAGTGGTCAACAGGAGATGGACTATGACCTGTAGTGAACACTGAGGAGYAAAGTCCAGCAATAAGAGAGTCTACACAACTGCAGAGTGAGCTTTGTACAGGCATAACAAAAAAACAATCATTCCCCAAAACCTTTCAATAAACTGGGGACAGCAAGAAAACAGGTTACAGTTATAGAGCGGATAAAGGAGAAAAGATTTAATAATCAAAAACAAAACAAAAAAAGCCCCACCTACACAAAAGCTGCCTTTATAAGCAAAGCATATCAATTCATAAAATAAATGAAGATACTCACAGGCACTAAAATAACAGAACATCAGTAAAACATTTAGCTTTAGTAAACCTCTGTTTATTCTTTATTTTTTATCAYATTTCATAGCTGAGGCTCTTATTTTCTGCACACTTCTAGGCATAGTTTATCAACACTTTTAGAAGATTCTTAAGATAGCAATGTCACAATCTCCCCATTTCCCTAGCACTTCAGAAGCATCATGGTGTGAAGCATCACCCACTGTGCCCGACAGAGGAACCAGTCTCTGCCTCAAACTGCTTTCGTTCCAACAGACTTGGACTTCCCAGAAGAATCACAAATTCATTTAGCACATTTTTGGTATCCTCCCTTCCCCCTTCCCCCCCMMAAAAAAGGGACAGCCAATAACTGAGGTTTAATTACACATGTGAAACATACTACAGTTCTACTTACAAGAAAAAGTAAAGTCCCCAGGAAGCCCCGGCTCCCCACACGTTTGGAGTCACCCCTTGATACAAGCCCCGCAATCCTTCGTGCTTCCAGACTGTTCTCATACAGTGCAGAATCCCATTGTACTTTGGCCTCAGCTCCAATCCATCACTTACTAGGTAAGAGAGATGACATCAAAAAAGGTTTCAGGAAACAGGAAGTTCAGCTGTCTAAGAGCCACCATGTGGCCTCCAAGGAGGGTTGCAGCAAACACACTGACCTAAATGATTAGTTGTATTTCAAAGGTGTGCAAGGGCTAGGAGTTTACAGCTTCCACAAGAGTCTACAGTTTGCTACCGGGAATGGGAAAGGATGTTAACCACAACTCTCTTGGGGCTGGGAAGAAGTACCTAAATGACACCTAAACTCAGAAGACAGCATGTTACTCCCTCCCATGAAAAACAATACATTCTCAGGGTACTGAAAAACACCACACAAGGTATTATGTTAAAATATGGAGTTCAGATCTAAGTGATTTGGATGAAACTTCTGTTCTGTTGAAAATCTATGAGCCTTAAATCACTCCAACCAAAATTCAACAGATGGAAATGAAGAACTAAAGTGAAATAATTATACTCAATTACAGGATCTTAAGGTTGGAAGAGACATCCTGAGAGTATCAATCCAACTCTCTGCTCAAAATAGGTCTAACTAGATCAGGTTGCTCAAGGACATGTCCAGTCATCACCAGACTAGAGAGACTATAGCCTCCCTGGACTATAATCGCTTCCGCAATTTGATCACTCACATAAAGTGGGTAAAATGGGTAAAAATGTTGTTTTCTCAATATCTAATTGGAAGCTCCCATCCAAACCTGCGTGTTTTGCCTCTTTTTCTACTGCTGAGCATCACCAAGAAGAGTCCAATGCCAAGTTCTCAACATCTTCCAACCAGAAAGTCACAGACAACAACGATGTCTGCCCTTAACTATCTCCTTCTTAATTCTGAATGTATTCAGTTCTCTCAGCCTCTCCTCTTATGGCCTATTCTATAGTTTCCTAACTAGTGTGGTGGTCTCTTCTGGGCTTAGACTAGACTATCCTTATCCTTAGTCCTTAAAGCCCGCCTTGTATCAACATCCTCCTTGAAACCCAGACTGGAAATAGTGCTTCAAATGTGGCCTCAGAAGTGCCACTCTTAAGGTAAGAGTTACACTCTTAYCGGTCAGCGCTGAGAGACGCAAGTGTTTAAATGCTAGCTTTGGATTCATCTGATCAGATAACAGAGCCTAGAGGTAACAGCGCGTTTTGCAGTTTCCGGGAASACCCCAAAAGTTTTGCCTTGAGATGGAAGACAAGAGCACCTGAAACCACATGCTTTGGCCTACTGCGTGCCCAGTCTAACTCGCGAGRCCACCCTGCCAAAAAGCCTGTCATTATGTAACTGTGCATGGGCTTGGGCAAAACCCTGCAGCCACAGAAACCTTATCCGCCCCCTCCGCGCTCGGCTGCCTCCTGAAAGCGCCCGGGGGTCACTGACCGAGAACAGCCTCGCGCGACGAGGTCAGGAACCCTCCGTGGAGGCTCCCGCGGGACGGCAGGGGCTGCCTCCGCCCGCCGAGGCTGCCGCCCCGGCCCGAGGCGCCGCCACGCGCGCCCCGCTCCCCCCGCGGCCTGCCGCCGCCCCGCGCCTCACCCGCGAAGCGGATCTTGACCAGGTCGAGCGGGTGCAGCACGAGCGTGGAGATGACGCCGCCGCTCAGCCCCGCCGCCAGGTTCTCGAGCCGCACGTGGCGGAGCAGCGAGCGCACGGGCGGCGCGGCCGGCGCCCCCACGGCGCACGCGGGGCCCTGCGCGCCCTGCGCCGCGCTCATCGCCAACGGTCGCGRCGCCAACGGTCGCGGTTGCGGCGCCAACGGCTGCGGCGCGCGGGAGGGGAGGAGAGGAGAGGGGGCGGGGCGCCCTCAGCCGCGCGCACCCGGCGCCGCCCCGCTGCGCACGCGCGCGCAGGAGCGAGGTCTCGCGAGACGGCGGCGGGGCCGTGGCGGTTGGTGCGTGTCACGTAGGAGGCGGCCGCCCCGGTCCGGGGGCGCGGAGGCGGCGGTAACGGGAGTGTTTGTGGCCGGCAGGATGCGGGTCAAGGTGCTGAGCCGGAACCCCGACGACTACGTCCGCGAGACCAAGCTGGACCTGCAGCGCGGTGAGCGGGAGGCGCCCGCGCGGGCACGGAGGCGCCGGGCGGCGGTTGGGGAGGCACCAACGGCCGCCCGCGTGCGCGAGGCGGGCGGCGCTCTGCGCATGCGCGCGGCACGGGGCAGGGGCGGGGGGAGCGCGGGCCGGGGCTGGTCGGCGCCGCGGCCGGGCGGCCTCGCCCTAGAGCGCCATAGGCCCAGCCTTGGTCCCGGCCTGGCCTCGGGAGGAAGGTTTGTACACCCGCCGGCCTGTCCCTGGTTCCGGACACGAGCCCGGCCTCGCAGCTCGGGTAGCAGCCCCTGCGGGCGAGGTGGCGCCCTGGCTGCTGCCGCGGGAGCCGCGCAGGGGCCGCCTGGGCCGGGCAGTCCTGCTCGCAGGCCGCGTGGTGCCCAGGGGCGCCTTCCAGCCAGCCTTTCCCGGTTCTTCAACTGGGATTACGCACTTGGAACGTGGAAAAGATCATCAAAGTTACTTGCTAGGACAGTAGCCGATTTGTGTGTAGACTTTAAATCAAATTCACTGCTATGTAATGTAATGTACAACCATTTCCTCCCCGACTTTGCTTTAGAGGTTTTAATATGCAGCAAATATTCTTGGGGAATCAGTAAAATGAGCATTAATTCTTGATGAGCGATCTAGCTATTGTCAGTTCTGCTAGCAACATTTTACATAAAACACAMTGTTAGTTACCTCTGTCCTTCTTGGATTATATTTAGGCAGGGATGCAGAAAGACCCTTGCTTAATGGATGTAGACCATCTGCCTGGGAAAGCAGATAGCAGCAGTGAAGTATTGAGCTAATGAGCCTTGTTTCTGAGCCAGACCTGGTTCGCAGGTGGCTGAGCAGGAGCAGAGCTGAGTTGCAGCTCCCTGGGCCTGTCTGTTCAGGCACATCCCTTCTGCATGTGATAGGAAGTTTGTTTATTTTTTATTATCCATTTCAGGAAAGGCAAAATACCTGTAGTTTTCAGTTTATGTGCATTCATGCTTTGATTAGTTTAGCAATATACTTTTAAAAAGGATGCTGAGTTTTAAAGTTATTTCAGACTTCATTAGTTCAAAGATTGTCAAGTGATCATACTAATGATCCCATAGATCAATGTCAAAACAGTAATATCACAAAAATCATAGCATTGCAGATGCTTCTTCCATGGCAAGGAAAAGCAAACAGAAAACCACATGAATGCAGCTTACCTTGAACTACGATGTGTATAGCAGGTTTATAATGATCGTATTACTCTTATTGCAGTTCCAAGAAATTATGATCCTGTACTACATCCTTTTGAGGTTCCACGGGAATACACAAGAGCTCTGAATGCAACAAAGCTCGAACGTGTGTTTGCAAAACCCTTTCTTAGCTCACTTGATGGCCACAGAGATGGAGTTAACTGCATGGCCAAACACCCAAAGAGTTTGTCTACGGTGCTGTCTGGGGCTTGTGATGGAGAGGTAAGCTGCAGTTACAAACCACCGTAAACAAAGTCCCTTTCTCCTTTTTTTTAGTACCCTACTTTGGCTTTCTTTTGTATCTTTGTACAGCTATAATACTGTAACTTTCCTCAGAAGGGGCCACCTATCCAGGATTTCTCAAACTGCACCTTGTGACCTTCCAGCATGTAAAGAACATCAGAAAGTTTTGGGAAGCAGCTGTCACTTGTACAGTTCCTCTAAGTTAGGTGGTGAAAAGCAGCTGTCGTAATTGGGTGCAAGTGTTTTCACAAATCTAGGAACTTCTGGTAAATAGTGAGCTCAAGTAACTTCCAATATCTTGGCATAAAGCAAAGAGTGTTAAACTAGAAGTCCCTGTGGCTTTTTGCACACGTTTTGAAGTTGCACAGTCACACTTTGAAGTTTTCAGAAGAAAACTACATAATTTTGATATTATAAATTTGGTGTTCAAGCCAGCCGTGGCATTTTGTTGCAGTGCGAGTGTGTCTCATGTCTGAATTATGAACTGCAATTGTGGCTTGTAGAAAACTGAACTAATTAACTAAACAGAATACTTTTGCATTTTTAACAGGTTAAAATTTGGAACTTGACCAAGCGACAGTGTGTTCGTACCTTACAGGCCCATGAGGGCTTTGTGCGGGGGATTTGTGCTCGTTTCTGTGGCACCTCCTTCTTCACTGTAAGTATAACCTGCCTCCTTACTACAGCCTAAYGACACAGAGCACCTGACAGAGGTGACCAGAGATCATCTGTTCATAGTCAGCAGTTTACTGACATCTGTCCTGTAGAATATTTAAATTCCAWTTATTTTAGAACTTGCATGCATTTATTCAGTTTGCCATGTGAACCTGTCAGTTCTGTTTCTGATTAYAGTTTTCTGGTGTTAATTCAAGATTGGAAAGGATAAACACTGGGTGATTGAGTTCAATTCTATTAATAAAACTATTCTATCGATAAGATTTATTAGTTTATATCAGCTGCAATTGATTCAATTACAGCTAAACTGTTTGGAAAGAGCATGGCTTCCTTTTTGCATCAGAACAATTCTAAGATAACAAAAATTTTGTTTGACAATTAGGAAATCTCCAGGTTTTGCTTCTTATCTGCTATTCATGCAAGAGCTACCATAACTCTTACAGATTTGTATTTTTCTGAATTAGATGCCAGATCACAAGAGCATTAGTTATGGTGCAGGTAAAATTGTAGCAGAAAATTGTGAATGATGCCAAATTAGAATCCCCTTTTGACATTCCTTCTGCCTGAAAAGTTGGAGAGGCGAAGAAGAAAGAGAACTGGTGCTGTCAGGAAAGGAAGTTGAACGTGTCTAGCACTACTATTTTGTTATTGTTCTTAGGGATGGAGGTAATGTTTAAATAATACTTAAATAATATGCAAATCTGTAGCACACAAAAAAACCCTCTGCAAGTGATGATCCGGTTCAAACAAAACTAACTGTAATGGACTGGGAAATGTTGGAGCTATGTGTGCAGATCTGACCAGTTCAAACTCTGACACTACGTCTTCAGGCTGTATCTTTCAAGTTTCTAGTGAAGTGTTATGACAACAACATTAAGGCTAATGCTTACTTTAGAGGTATAAAACAGAACAGTGAAAGGGCAAGAAACACTCTACTTTGACTGTTTCCATTCTCATTTTGAAAGATTTCCTGTTCTTAGTTGCGAAGCGAATAAATCCAATTAAGCAGAATAAATTCATGTAAACCTATACATCTTTTCCCAATATTTCCAGATTGGTGATGACAAAACTGTGAAGCAATGGAAAATGGAGAGCCCAGGATACGGAGAAGAAGAAGAACCAATTCATACAATTCTTGGAAAGGTAGAAAACTTTAATTTTGATATCCCTTGTCTATTCTTTTTAATTGTTTGAAGTGATTGTTATTTAGCTTTTGGAAGAAATAGAAATAGGTTGATACAGTAATGGGTTATTTTAATGGGTTGTAAGGCAATAGCCTCAAATTTTGTAATGGCACTTTTCAAGTATCTTCACTTCCTTATATTTCATTTATGTATAATTAGAAAGAAATACCTCAAGTGCCATTGGAGACTGCTGAGATCTGCCTGTAGCAATCATTCCTTTCCTGGGGACTGGTCAAATCTTTCTGTAGTCTATTACTCTTGAACTGCATCTTGTCAATGCCCGGTGTGCATAAAATAATAATTGTTTTCTTGCCAAGACCTCACAACCATTTCATACAGAACTTTATTTTCAGAACTCTTATTTCCTATAAGATCAGCCATGCTTTTGCCAGTAAATGGGCTTCTAATGCTGCCGCTGTTGGAGACTAACAAATTTATGGTGTGTGCATGTCAAATGAACAAATTTATGGTGTGTGCGTGTAGAAAAGCAGTCAGTTTGGTAAGAGTACATCTAAAAAGACTCGTTTTCAGGGCCTTTGGTGACTCAGTTTTTGGTCATATGAGCAAACAAAGCCATGGCAGACTCAGTATGCAATGATCTGTGTGTTGATCTTAGCTGTAAGAGAATGTACGTACTTATGTGTACATTATTTTTTCTTTTAAAGACAGTGTATACAGGAATTGATCACCACTGGAAAGAAGCTGTTTTTGCCACCTGTGGCCATCAAGTAGACATTTGGGATGAACAAAGGACAAGTCCCATGTGTTCTCTGACATGGGGCTTTGACAGCATAAGCAGTGTAAAATTTAATCCAATCGAGGTAATACTTCCATCATGTATCAGAATATCAGTATTTTTCTTGATTAGTATAAGACCTAAGCTGTATTACTCTTATCATTAACTACCCTTTTTTTTTCTATCCGCAAATTAAATATCTTTGTATTTTGTGTGTGTGTGTGTGTGTGATCATGATGCTTTGATAGGTACCATATATTTTTTCCTCTTTTAATAGGAGAGGAGAGAGAGAGGTGTAGGGGAGTCTCTTTTCTACCTCACAACAATATATGTCATCTGCTTCAATCATGTAATGGAGTTTTCTGTCTGTGGAGCTCTCATCTTGCCCTTTATTGTAATTMCCTCTGACAGAGTCATCTCTCCTTCCAAAGCCAACAGCTGAATCTGTTCTGATCTTCTATAGCAGTTCCTATAAACTTGTTGGGCAGACTGTGCTTGTGGGTGGGTGAAATGTATCCGGGGTGGTGCTTGTTACCTAGAGATAGGACTGTGTGCATTCTGAATTGTACTGGGAAAGCTTTTTAAAATGCTTAGCTTGACTAACTGGACATAAAGAACTGTTGATGCATTTACTTGAGAATTGAAAAGGAGAACCAAMTGATATTTTGTTTTGTTTTTGCCCTAGACTTACCTTTTAGGAAGCTGTGCTTCTGACAGAAATATTGTGCTGTATGATATGAGACAATCAACTCCCTTAAAGAAGGTAACATTTTTCTTTTTCTCTCTTAGTAAAAGCTTGTGGCAGGATCTGCCATYACGATATTGATACAGATACACAGCCTGTATTGATGAAAATTGTATTGATGTAATAATAATAATGTAATAATGTAACTATATTGATGAAAGAAAAGGGAAGCTCTGAACTAGGAGCTCACTGAATGTTGATATTCTTTGAGTTGCTTAGCTGAGTTAATCTTGGAATTTAAACCAGAGAGAGCTAAAAAGGCCCTCGCTGTGTTGAGACTGGCTGTCATCCTTGCTCTGTTGTAATTTTTGATAAAATGCCTGACCTGACAGCATTTTCACAATAAGAACTTTGTGTTCATTATTGCATTGTGTCTGTGTGTGCTTTTTTTCCTTTTCCTTTCCTTGTCAGAAGGAAACAGTGTAACTTAAAAGGCAGTTGTTTAGACCATTAGAGAGCTTTGTTCTGCATTTTTTTTTGCATGTATGAAAATAAGTTTCATGAGCTATGTTTTCTTAAGTGATACAATCTATCCAGCTAATATAAAATTTTCTGAAATCTTCTGCAGCAAAATCAAAATCACATACCATATTTATATATGATATTTACCAGTAACATGAAAATTCTTGTTCATCTTTAAGAGAATGTGTGTTTTTGTTTAAAACAAGAGGTGAATCATTCACATCCAGGTGTTAACCAGCTGGATCATATTTAGTGTTTTTTTGAGCCCCACAAACATCTTAACAATTTTGCTTTTTAAGGTGTGATATTCTGGCTGTGAATATACACTGAATATCCTTCTGGTATGATACATGCTATCTGCGATAACTGTGGCTAGTGAATGCTGAAATGCTATAATGGCACTAAAATAGTTATAAAATATGAATGTTGTTTGCATAACAGTATTTCTCTCCCTGTGCACCAGTAACTTGTGGTGAAGTTTCATTTAGGACACTGAGAAAATTTTCCTTCTAATAAAACGTGGCAAAACTAATAAAATRAAACATACCTGGGAAGCTAGCAATCAGGAGGCTAATCTTTAACCTTCCTGTTCAAGATTTCCAGCTCCTGCAAAATGAGTACAAGAATAACTGAAACACGTTACGTGTATGATATAAACTTAAAATTGTGACAAAAATTGTCAGATGTTATTGGAAAATCCATATTTCTTTCAAAAGAGTCAGACTTGTTATGTGCCACCTCTTCACGATTGTGTTGGTTTTGGTTTTGTTTGTTTGTTTTTCCCAAGCCTGTAGCATTCAGCTTATTTTATCAGCAGTATTGGCATTTAACACAGCACCTAAGAAAAGGGTGCTCTGTACCAGTCTAGCCTTACATTCAGTAACAGCTGCATACAGCAACCTCGATCTGAGGCGATTTAAATTGCTGTCAATACATTAAGAGTGGCATTTTGGAACAATTGAAATCTTTCTGCAGTCTGCAGAAATATCTTCTGACATTAGTAGGACACTTTTATTATTTCTGTCCTTAATAGGACAAGTCAAAGTTGTGACATCTTTGGAGATTTTGCCATCTTGTTTTATTTATTTTAGTTGTAAACACTAGTAAAGTGTGTCAGTCTAGAAATTTTAAGATTACTAGAATACAAAAACAAATTGCCCAAATAATTGACCTCTCCTCCTTTTCTATCAGTAAGGTAATAATTTCTGCTTGAAATTTCCAGCAACAGAAAATACAATTCCTGACAGCTGTTCAAATACTGAAGTTGTCCATCTTTAAAACATTCTAATCTCTTCTGCGATCCCATGGGTTGCACAAGAATGACTTTAGTAAAAGATATTGCTTTTTAAAACTAAGATAGGGGAAACTTCATTTCCCCTCCACAGCTTTTTTAGATTGCTCTTTGCTGTGTGCTTGTGTAACATCTCACCCTGTTATTTGTCTCTTGCCTAAACCTAAGACTTCAAAACTCATGAGCAGGCCAAGTGGGCAGAGGTGCTAGTACTTTACAAGTAGTATGTACTCATATTTCCATTAAAGAGGCAATTCCTGTCGACTTCCAAACTCAGGGCCATGTGCGACCTGCCTTCCTGAATGCTTGCCAGGATCACAGCAGCCCGAGGAGCCAGGGCCTCCCAGGGGCAAGGTGCCTCCATCAGCACCACCGGTCTCGCAGTCACAGAGCTCTTGGCTTTGAATTCGGAGTCAGGCAGACGCTCAACGTGTTTCTGCACAGAAAAAAAAATGTTCCCATCTCAGCGGAAACTGCTGGGTCTGCAGATGTGAGGAGGTTTTGGTCACTGTCCGTCTCAGTGGATTCCAGGAGTTGTGTTGTCACCTAGAAAATGAGATTTTGTGGAGAATGAGACGTGAAAATGTGCGCACGCTGGTCAAGTCACCATCCCTTTGGAGGGTGGAGCACTTGTATCTTGCTTGGAAATTTTGCTTGTTATTTTAGAAGGTATAATTGCACAAGTGTGTTGCTATATGCATGCAAAGTTATGTTTGGAGTAGTAAGTTGAGAACAAAAATGACATTTGAGTCCTGTAGGATTTCAGAATTTTCAGATAGGATTGTGGTTGATCCGAAGTATAATGAATATTTTGTTTAGAGTTGTTCTGTCTTTCATATGATGCTCTGTAACTATTTACCTGCTTTGTCAGGCATATTGTATGGAAGCTAATTTAAAATACGATGGTTKAGAGCCCCACAGATGATGTGTCATTCTGGGACCTCGGCGCCCTCTTCTCCCAGGGCTGCCCAGCTGCTCTTGCCACTGCAGCCCTCCAAGTTGAGGGCTCCAGGATGTGTCTCCTCATTACTACTTTTCCCACCCACTGTTAGCAAAGGGGGAGGATATTTTTAGGGCAATCATTAGCTGCTGTTGCTCCTGCTTTAAGGCAGGCAGGCCTCTGCTTGGCTGCTGTTGACAGCAAATCTTACCAATGTGAAGGAACTGACTCTGCTGCTGTGGTAGTGACAGCACTGAGTAAATTGCAACACATGAACTGTTTCACTGCTTAGCACTTCTCAGGGGAAAAAATAATAATAAAAAAAAAAACCCAAGAAATGGCAAATGGCTTAGAGAATTCCTCGACTGAAATTGCTGCAATTTAACAGAGGGTTAGGAAAAACTGAGAGAACATCAAAATGCTATTGTCACTTAGCAAATGTTTGTTCACATCCTTTGAAATGGATGATGTATGAATAATCGGACTCAATTAAATGCTTAATTAAAGGCTCCTGTAAATATAGTGGAGGAGTGATAGTTTGAGTAAATGACAGCTTGAAGAAGATTTACTTCCAAAATGACTTGTTAAACAAAAATTCATTGCAATGAGTGCAGCAATGATCAGGGGTAGGAAGGGTTGTAGAAGTCAGGGTTGACTTCTAATTCTAACACTGCAAAGGGAATGTATGTCACTATTCCTCCTCCACAATTCTATATCTGGAAAGAGTTTACCTGTTGGCAGTGGCATAAAAAGCTTTGTATTTGAAGCATAGCCAATGCTTTATTACCTTTAACAAGGTAGCAATGTATCAATATATTTCAGGTTATCTTGAAGATGAGGACAAATACGTTGTGTTGGAACCCCATGGAAGCTTTCATTTTCACTGCTGCAAATGAGGACTACAAGTAAGTGTGATCTTTTGATCTTCTTGATTATCCTGACTGACATTATCCTGACATTATTATGTCTTTAATCTGTGCCTTGGTGATTTATCATCATTTAACAATGTATTTCTTCTTAAAAAAAAAAAAAAAAAACTACTTAAGCTCTCTAAATTTGAGTCACTTAAGTAGTGTCTTAAATTAGGCTCAGTAATTAAAAAAAAAAAAATAGTGTTGAGCTGCCTCTCTTTCAGTAAGAATGGGGGATGCCTGCAATTTAGAACAAACAAAAAACACTGTTCCATTGTAATAAGAAAATGCACTTGATCCAGTGCAAGCATAGCTTGCAAAGRGGCCTTGACATTAATCACTATCGATCCTGCAATATAAGTGTTTATTTTCTTGCCAGCTGTCATGAAACTTGGTATCTTACCCTGATCAGCTCTTTTGATGRGAACATTTCTAAAAAATTAATCTTTTGCGAAGCAGTTCCAGAAACTTTAATGCTTTATTCTCTCAGGGTCTTGGAACACATTTTTCACTTTGGGACARTGCTCTTCATGTGAACAGCTAAGCTGCTACTGAGAAAAGCTGCCTCAAACTAGGCCACTGCAAAATGGACTCTTTCTTCCAGGAAGCCCATGATCTAACCATAGATCATGGCTGCTTTCTAGTGTGCAGGAATTTTATCACTTATCCTAGGACTGTTTTTTCCAAAGAAATGAAATCTGACTCGTACCTTGAAAACAGGCATATCGAGTTTGATTTACTGCTTTTAACTATTTTTGATTGTGGTAAAGTAAGGCTAGCTAAAGTGTTTGTTTATAGCTGCAACTGTTAGGGKCACCTGTTCTTTAAAACTACAGCAATTTTCAGAAGGAAAAAGCAGTAATTGCCAGTTAGCTATTGTACAGAAGCCATTGAACTAATGTTTCCTGTATGAGTGCGGGTAAATTTCTGTTCTGCCTGAGCTCTGCAGTGCTGAAGAGCAGGGCAGCCGTGACCCAGCAGYTCTGCAACTGTTTTTCATGTGATATTTTTCTGCAGATGGTCTGCTCTGCTGAACCAGCAGCCCTATGTTCTGAGGGATCGAGCTTTCCTCGCACTCCTGGACGCTTTGGTCAGGAAATGAACTGGAGAGGGAACCAAGTACATAGGAATGTCATAGTAGCCTTGGAGTTATTAAGAGATTCCAGTGTGGGAAGATGTAGAAACCTKGTGGAGTTGATGGGCTTGACATAATGGGGATCACTGGTACATAGTCCAAAGATGGAGTGAAGGAGGACAGTGAGGACAGGCGCTTGGAGAAATAGGTTTGGTCAGTAAYTCCGGAGCAGATGCTGCTCTGTGGAGAAGAGACAGGACTCAGCTGCTCCCTTCACCAAGAAACATAGATCTGGTCCAGTAACTAAAGCCATGGGCCTGGAAACTGATCTCAAGCAGCAACTAATGTATCTTCCTTCTCTTTCCAGTGTTACTAAGCAATTCCCAACATTTTTTTTTCAATATGGTTTATCTTTAAGCAGGTTTGTGTGTGATTTTAGGTAGCCYTTTCCCCAAAACGTGCTAATTGCTCAAGGTGGTAAGATGCTACATGCCTGGTGTTTTTCTTCCAAAGCTTGTACACTTTCGACATGCGCTACCTTACCTCGCCCGTGATGGTGCATATGGACCAYGTGTCTGCTGTTCTGGATGTGGATTATTCACCCACTGGGAAGGAGTTTGTGTCTGCCAGCTTTGATAAATCTATCCGCATTTTTCCTGTTGACAAAGGTCACAGCAGGTGAGTGAGGTTTTGGTTTCTGTTCTCTCTCCTTTCACCTCTCACTCCCATGCGCTCTATAACCTCCCTCCCTAATCTTCAAAATTCTTAATTCAGCCATTAATATCTTTGTTGAGTAATTCATTTTCTGTGAATATCTGTATGTTTCTTGAGAGTGAGTGCTCATGTAGTTGTCAGATAGCTTTTGAAGTATGTGTTAGCATAGAACTTTAACAGGTAGTAGTGCTGATTGTAAAATTACACTGACCCTGTGGGTGAAACTGCTCAAACCTGTTKGGATTTTATTTTATTTTATTTTATTTTATTTTATTTTATTTTATTTTATTTTATTTTATTTTATTTTATTTTATTTTATTTTATTTTATTTTATTTTNATTTTATTTTATTTTATTTTATTTTATTTTATTTTATTTTATTTTATTTTATTTTATTTTATTTTATTTTATTTTATTTTATTTTATTTTATTTTTTCTCTCTTTCGTGCAAGATACCTAGAGGGAGGGTTGTAGTGTTAAAGAAAAATTGGCTGTTTATAATGTTTTTATAAATGTGTTTATACAAGGGGAAGATTTGCTTCTCGCCTTTGGTATGTCCCCTGTTCTCTTGTTTTTCTGTCCATTCTCCTGTTTTTCTGTTTTCTSAGGCTTTCCTTGACATTATTGCTTTCCAAATAGATTAAATATCACTTCTGAATTATTCTTCTCAGGTATTCTCATTTATATTTTACCAGGATGAATCCCATCTTATTTCCCYTTCTTTATCTTTAATACCTTTAGTTCCTTTTGTGCTGTATCTCTGCCATCGCTGATGCCTGCAGTACCTCCCAAGATAAAAGTGTTTGTTTTATAGGGGCTGTCTTCATCTTATGTGGATGATTACTAAAGACATCACATAAGAAGCATAGTAACAGGAATTCTTTATGATCTCTTTGGGACATTTTTGTGATCGAATTCACTTCCATTTGTTATTACCTTCTGCTCATGCTTTGTTAGCCAGGATTTGATTCACATAACAAATGCCTTGAATACAGCTCAGCGTGAATTAGTTTCTCACGCAAGGTTTCATAAGGCAGTATATTAAATATTTTGTTGAAGTTCAGATTAGATCTGCTTTGTGCACCATTATTAGTTTTTTTTTTTTTTTTTTTTTTTTTTTCAATTTGATGAAAATCCAAGCAAGTTATCTGGCCTGTCTGGTGTCATTTGTTCTTCATAACCCTGCCTTCATTCCTCTCCGTCAGACTTCTGGTTTGGTTTTGTTCTTGTTAACCCTTTTTTTACTTGTTTTCCTTCTCCTCCTTAGGAGGAGGTTATCACTGGTTTAAACTTTAGATGTTTCCTTTGGGGTGTTGAAATACTGATTGGGGAAGAAGTATTATTAAGGATAGGTGCAATTATCCCATGTTCCTCGTCACTGTTTGTGCCGCCCTGTGCGTCACTAGAGATCGAGAGGWGTCACTCCAGCTTTCCTTCCTAACTGATAGGGCTGCTGCTACTTTCTCCCTGTCCTGCACAAATGTTGTAGTTTGGAGTGTCTGTAAGCAGGGATCCRGGCTGTATTCCACTTCTCTCTGACTACTCGTCCCCTATTAATCTGGAAAACTCTAAGCTTTCAATGCTTTCTATTTAACATTTGGAAAATCGATATCCAGARGAAATAACATCATGAAGCTCACTGGGTTTGGTAAATTCTTGGTAAAAGAAACTTGTTCTGTAGTTCCCATTCCGTAATGTTTGATCACTATATTAGCATATTGGTAAAAATCAGTATGGCTACTTTAGCAGTGGCATAGAGCACCATGTGGATATGTTGTTGGAAAAAACCCCAATGATTTATTAGGTTCTTCGATTATTTCTATGGAAGAAAAAAGCATTTATTATAAAGTTTTTATTAGTCTATCCAGAATACTGTATTTGAATTGTGAATTGCTAACAGTCTCTACCAGTAGCCATATATTAGTGTGCATAAATATTATTAGATAGAAATYATTATCTAGCACGTTTTAAAAAGTCAATATGTTTTTAGAAGGCAGAAGAATATATTGCAGTTTGAATGGAAAACTCTGTGCTGTGTGAAAGCTTTTGCTAGGGAAAGGAATTGTAAAGCACCCTGATGTTCCCTGTGCCATAGGGAGGTGTATCACACAAAGCGAATGCAGCACGTCATCACCGTGAAGTGGACCTCGGATAACAAATACATTCTTTGTGGCTCAGATGAGATGAATATTCGTCTTTGGAAGGCAAACGCTTCTGAAAAACTGGGAGTGGTAAGAGACTTGCYTTTTCTTATCCCAGGACAGGGTCTGTTTTAGTTTTTTATTGCAACCATTTAATTTATTAAGCTTCTAAAAACTTCTGTTTCTARAATAAAGTTTCTAGTGGCAATTTTACACTTTTCATTAGAAAACTAGCATGCCTGCATGCATAGCATAATATAACTCATGTTGCAGCTACTGCAGGTTTTAGTATTAAGCAGATGGCAAGTTATATTCCTCATTATTGGATGCCACCCTGTGCCCCGTGCTCYGGGTGTCCCTGCTGGAGCAGGGGGTTGGACTAGATGATCTCTAGAGGCCCCTTCCAACCTCAGCCATCCTGTGATTGTTGTTATGCAAACAGGTTAGTTGTAATTATCAGTTGAAACCAGGCTGGAGTTCTCATGTACATGCAGCCGCTTTGGGGTTGGTGGAGAATGTGTTAGGGGTAAGGGGCCAGCTCCCTGCCACTGAAGGAATATCTGTGCTGGGAGAGAAGAGGAATAGAGGCAGGGGAATGGAGTGGTGCCAGGGCTAGAGGTGCAGTGGGAAAATCCATGGACCATCTTGCAGTGTGAAGGATGGGATACGAGGAAGCACAGCTGAAARGGGAGAGTATCTGTAGGTGTCACCTGCATCCCTGCTGGGGAAGAGAAACCACCTTTTAAGAAGCCAAAAATAAGAAATATGGGAAGAAATTCCAAGGGGCAGAAGCAAATATATAGGAGAACTGTATGGGAAAGTTCTGCTAGTTTTGCAGCCTGGAAGTGTGTTCAACRTGTGGTGCTGTTGAGACCTTGAATCGAGCAAGACATAGAAATTACAAGTGTCCAGAGCTGATGTAGTTGCTATGACAGCAGTTTGGGAAACACGATGAAATTCAGGTTTTCAGGTGTTCAGAGTCACTGTTGCTACCAGGGACTGGGGAGGGATCTTCATGGCTTGTCAGGCTCTTGAATGCACATTGGAAATGTCCCTTGGATGCAGGCARCTGTGCCAGTACTGTGTTTGATCCAGCCTTGTAGTTCTTGTGATTCTTCCTGTTGTCTTGATGCCTCTTTACCATTTTGCTTTGGTTTTCTGCAGCACAAACTCTTTCCGAGGACTGCTGTTCTTTCCTGCTCATTTAATAAATGTCCGGTTGTTCTGCTGGTTTTTGGGCATTTTCAACTTTCAAAGCTGACCAGTCACTAATTCTGTTGCAAGTGCCAGAACGTGTCCCAAGTGCTTAGTCGCTTGGCTCTGCGATTTTTTCTTAGCTAAGAAGATTTGATTGAATGACTCATCCAAATGTCACAGCATTTCTAATAAAATGCCAACCTCTTGTAATACATTGTATTCCAAGATGGATATTTTGGGGCTGGGAGTGGGTGGAGACCAGTGTCCAGAAAGAGAAAAGCAAAAACTAATGAAAAATTCTTCCTTTGCTCCGGCCACCGCTTCCCTCCTCCTTGTTCTCTCCCTGCATCGCGAGGAAGTTGCCCTGGATGCAGGGGCCTCGTGCCATGTGCTGCTTTCCTTGGCTCTGCCAGTGTGTTTGGCCGTGCGCTCATTATTCAAAATACCATTAAAAACACTGGAGGAAGAGGCCAGGCCCTGCCTGGGGGAGCAGAGGTCCGGCAGCATCTCTGCCTCACCAGCGGTTCAGGCTGCATTGCTGTTGTGTAGGGGTAACAAAACCCAAGTGTTTTTGTAGGAGCTACCACAGAGGTTTCTTTAAAACACCCTTGTAGTGTTCAGTAGGTGTTTGCTGAGGTAAAAGTTCAGCTTTTGCAACCASAAGGTAACCAGAACTCTTTATGCAGGTTTTTGTTCGGAAGCTGTAAATCCGTAGCTCTGCATGTGCGATCAAGGAAAGTGGGAGTAAATAAGRCCAGTAAGATGTTCCAGGCTGCTTGTTTGTTATCCATAAAAGCTTGACCTGTAAACTGTGCAAATATGCTCCTTTATTGGGGTCTTGGAGAGGCTTGGGGTTGCCAAGAGGTGCCTTGCCCTTGCCTTGTGAGGCAAAGGGGGGARAAGGAGCTCTGTGTGAGTGAAAAGGCTGGAGAAGCAGCACTAATAGAATAGGTTTCAGTCAATAAATCAGAATTTATCTAATTCGAAGAAAGGGCTATGTTGGGCTTTTATGAACTGCAGGAGAGCAGTGAGCTAGCAGCAAAACTTAAAGTTTTGTTTTTCAGAATACAGAGGCACTGAGCCTGCAGCCCCTGCAGCCCTGCAGCGTGGATACTCAGCAGCAGYAGCAGCGCTTCCGGAAGTTACAGCTGCGAAACCTGCTCTGTTACCTCTCCAGAGAGCTTAAGGATTAGGACATAGCCCTACACAGCTGAAGGAGAAAACTTCCTTCCCGGGAATGCTTTGTATTTGAGCAAGTGTAAAACATCAGCCCAGGGAGGGAGCGGAACAGCAGTGGGGCAGAGGTTTGCTGCTTTCTGACAGGGTGCAGACCTAACAGCTTTCGGGTAAGGCGTTGCAAAAGATTGCATCAAACTGCRAGTTTTGGGGTTTTATCTARCAAAGTGCATTAGCAGGAGAGCACMAAAACTGCCMCAGTGACTGTGTCCTCCCACTCTGCCAGCACGGAGCTCTGAACAGCCCTCAATGACTGGGCTGAAAAGCAGCAGCACTGGGTACTGGCTGACACGGCGTTTGTGGCTAAATGCACGTGGSATTTCCTGCCTTTAGCTACAGTTTTGTGCTCTTAACATCTTTGTTACTCTGCTTTTGTGCTCTCCATTGAGAGAGAAAGACTCGCTTTGGATTTGAGGAAACAAAGAGCGATAAACTTAATAGCAACAAATTTATAAAGGACTTTGCAGGAGAACAGTGGAAAATTGGAAATTTGGAAAATTGCTGGAATAACTTTGCATTCCAAAAATATGTTGCATCTGTGCTTTATCTGACTTAACCTAGAATGCAACCTGGGCAGGATAGATAATAGCCTCTTCATACTGCTTTGCTGAATGGAAGTATCTAATATTGTGGATTTTTTACGTTTACCTGCACAGTACAAATATAGTCCATTTTAAGGGATATGTGTTTTGTTGGAGGGGATCTTAACTTTTCAGTCAAGGCTCTGGAAAAACCTTAACCTTCACCCTGCTTATGGGGGAAAACAACCAGCCTCATCACCTCAAGGGAAGAGAAGCTGTAGACTCTTTCCTTGAGGACACCTTTACATATTGCTGTCAACCTGGCTGTGTTTTATGGTTCTTTCCCCATCTTTTCACTCTAGATATTTGCTGAGCAATGCTGTCTCAGTCCTGGCACAGAGAGCTGCCTTGCTGCCCCCAACCTTGCACTGAAAGTTGCACATTCATTTTCTCACTGTATGAGAAGTTGCCTTTGAGTGTCTGCCTCCCGTTCACAGCATCGTACAGATCCCAGTCTGTTACTCTGTGCTCTAGTCATTATAAACAGAGTCCTTAAATCTGCTGCTTGGTGCTGCATTTCCAGGATTTTGTGCGGCACAGAGCGCTGTGGGAAGTAACGTGGCTCCCTTGACCCCTGTAGAGCGACCTGCCGGAGAACCTGGAGCGAGTTGTGTGATTGCARCCTGCTTCCCTAGCTGCCCGCTGTACGAGCTGCACAGGCACCAACTTGTCCTTCACCCGGGGGCYTCTTTCCCTGCCTCATAGGAGGGGGTCCCCGTAGCGCTGCCCCGTGCCGGGGACTCCGAGGGTTCCAGGGCTGGGAAGTGATCGAGGGGGGATGTTCCGATGCACCAAGTCACCTATAAAAGCCTGTCTGGAAACCAACAGAACCACTGCTTTCTCTGTATTAATTTGTTAAATAAGATATGCTGGGTGTATATTTAATTTACCGATCCTCCTCCGTCTGCAGAATCATCAAGGTTACACTAAATCAGCAGCAATTTGCTCCTCTTCAATTAAATTAAAGAAAAATCATTGCATTTAATTAAAAAGAAAGCTCCTTAATTTGGATTGTGTTGGCGGTTTTCTGCAGAGTGGGAACACCTGGGACTTGCTGAGAATGAACCAGCTCCTCAGCCTGGCTCAGAGGAGGGATCTTGCTAAAGTAAAGCTGTAGTTCTAGGGGGTTAGGATTGTGGGCTAGGACTTGTTTGCAGTTTGAGAGCTTACGATAARAGTAAATCTTTCCACTTACCTTTATGAATTAGAATATATGGAGAAACAGAGGATAGGAATATTGGTCACTTTGATGCGCAGTCAATTATGTGTCACTTTGATGGTAACTCTAATTCCACTTGTATTTCCCTACCCTGTGGTCCTGAGATGTTTTCAGTGCCTGATGAAAGCTGCAGCTCCACGCGTGCCCTGCAAGCAAGCGGAGATGCCCAGGGTCATGTCTACACTGTGCTTCCTAATAGGCTTTTTGGTTTTTAATGGATCAAGGCAGGACGTGGGTCTGTAAAGGTTTCCATTGAGACAATTCCTTTATAGCGCTTGTATTTATACTGTCTACTGACCAAAATACCTGAGCATCTTTGCCTCTCAGCAGAGGTTGAATGTTGGCAGAAGTCAGGAGAGCAAACAGATTCTCACTGAGAACGTTTTGCTGTCAGCTATTCTCTCTCCTTATGTCCAGCCCACTAAGAACTGACTCTAGGGAGGCTGGTCAGCTTTGCTAACAGCGTGTGTGTGTTGTGCTTTCCCGTGTAGCTTGCACCCCGAGAGAAGGCAGCTATGAACTACAACCAGAAGCTGAAGGAGAAGTTCCAGCACCACCCGCAGATCAGGCGCATCGCTCGGCACCGCCACCTGCCCAAAAGCATCTTCACGCAAGTCAAGGAGCAGCGGATCATGAGGGAGGCTCGCAGGCGCAAGTACGTCTGCCTTGCTGCCCGTTCTGGCTCTCTTTTCTTTCTGTGGTAGTGAAGGGCATCCCTTTGCTGCCTGCCTCGTGTGTTCTGCTCTGTGTTGGGAGGAAGCAGCATTAGCGCTTTGCTGACGCTGACGGGGGTTTTCCTTGCTCTKGTTTGCAGGGAGCAGAACCGCCGCAAGCACAGCAAGCCGGGCGCCGTGCCCGTCSTGTCGGAGAAGAAGAAACACATCGTGGCCGTGGTGAAGTAGTGCCCCTGCCTCGGCACGGGGGCTGCGGCTCCAGCTCTTCCCCTTGGGACCTTCCCTTCAAAAGAAGAACGAACGTGACTCAGAGTGGGCAGCAGCAGCTGACTCAGTTCCATGTACTAGAACCATAAAATCAGTTGTCTTCACACAGACTCGTTACAGAAATCTAAGGAAGTAAAAAATGACCACAAAGCAGTGGGCTACACTGTGGTTATTCCAGCTGGCCAGTGTTTATTGCAGAGTGCTATACAGGCTTCCTTCTGTCTAAAAGGACTTCAGSAGGGTGGTCAGGCATGTGTAAGCTCTAATTAGAGTTGTGGTCACCTTAGCTGGTGTTACAAAACTCGGCAAAACTTCAAAGATTGTTAAACTTGCTGATTAAAGAGTAATGATGATGATTATCTTGTAGAAATACCTTTTCTCTTTAGCTTATTTAAAACTGACTTGAACTTTGCCACTTTTCATCCAGGTTTTAGAAAACCCCCAAACTTCTTCAAGTGAGTGTTAAAATAAATTTTCTGTTTAAAGTTTGTGTTAAAAAATCTTCACATAATTTAAAAGTACCTGCAGTCTCTTTCGTCATCTTTGTAGAAAATGCTCTGCTTGCATCTCAGTGAGTTAAACTTAGCTTTTTACTGAAGATACAAAATTCCTCAGAACAGAAAACTCTACCAGGATTCAGGTAGGTATCTTAGGCTAAAGCCTTTCTGTTGGAAAGATGTAAGATACTTAATGACAATAAATACTATGATAGATTCTTGGCATCTTTTTTAATGTTATATGACATTTTATTTGCAAACTTTCAGCCTTTGCACAACTATGCAGTCTGTAACTGTTTTTCTCTCCTCTTGAGTTTATTCCCCCCACAAAAAAATATGGACACAATTAGAATAAACTTTATAATTTAACTAATTTAAGTTGTTTTCTGTGTTTGTTTTGTTTTGGAAAGTTTTTTTGGGGTATCACTCAGAGCACTTGCTGCACGTGTAGTGTCCTGTTTACTGTATTTGCTGCACACATAGTGATGCATAAGCACGGGTGATGCTTGGCTCCTACATTCGTCTCTGCTGACGCTGCTGGGCAAGATTCCTGCATCCTCAGGGCAGAGTCACGGCTGTTGGTGGCGGGAGGCTGTGGGGCATCCATGTTCTTTGGATCACCTGCCCTGTGGGGTAGGAACCCAGTGTCAGGCTGCAGGGTGAGGAGCAGCAGCAGAGCAGAGCTGGCCATGGGGCAGCCTGTCCTGTCCTGTCCCAAAGTGCGTTGGGAAGGTGCTGCCGCCCCACATGTGGCCTGGGGCCCGGCCTGGCTTTGCCGCCCGCCCGGGACTCGTGCTCTGCGCTTTGGCAAAGCGTGTCGGCCTCCCCGGCTGCGCTGCGTTGGTGTTGCTGGCGCTTGGGCTGTTTCCAGACCTTGGGATCGCAGTGACGCTGTTGGGCTGCGAGCACCTCCGTGACCGGGTCCTGCTGCTGGGGCCGTGGCAGGGCGCGCTGCCCGCTGGGCCCTGCTCCGTTGGGGCAGCCGAGGAGCCTCCCGACCTGCGTGCGGCTTAACCCACGCCGGGATTCATGCAGCCCAATGAGCAGAGCAGCTTAAGGTACTGAGGACAGATAAAAGGTGCTCAAGAGCTGAGCAGAGCAGCGGAAAAAGGGACTTGCTGGGTGAAGGCGAGTTTAGAGGCTGGGGTACATGCATAGGAATCCACTGCATGAGGCCTGCGCAGCGCTGGGCCTTTTCAGTGAGCAGGGTCATGTCAAGCCAGGGGAGAAGGTCWGTTTCCCCAGGCTGAGTCTTGCCACCTCTCCCAGGACGTGGTAAAGCCGGCCTGGGAAAGGATTGAGGGCTCCAGCTGCGAGTTCCCTGCCTGCAGCTCTGCAGGCACCATTGGCACCCTCAGCTCGGAGCAACCCTAGGCGGGAGCTGCTGCCTTTCTGCACTTCCTCCTGCTGTGTGAAAAGCCCCTTTTCTAAATCTTTACGGATCATCTGCAGCACTTGGTGGCTGACTGCCAGAATAGCTAAGGCGATGGCTCCGAAGAGAGATTTTTTAATAGCAGTTGCCACATGGCCACCCTATGCTCTCCAGAAGGGCCTCGCAGGTCTGCCTGGCCGTGCAAAGCGGGGTGGAAGGAGCTGGAGCTGCTGGAGCGCTGAGGGGCCTGGGGCCTGTTCGCTGTTCCTGAAAGGCTGGAGGAACCTGGCTTCTCAGTCACCCTAAAGGGGTTACCCAGGTTTACCAAGACTATTTGGAAAGAATAAGTGCATGTGTGACTTGGCATATATGAGAGTCAAGTTGTAGGGGGAGTAAAACTTCTATCTTTGTTGTTGTGGTTCAAGTAAGAAGCAGAAAACACAAGGGAACATTGAACACTTCGCTTTTTGTCATGGTGGATCTCAAAGGAAAAAATATTGGACTGATCYCTTAACCAAATACAGTGGGTGCATAGCTGCTACTGATAAAAAGAGAAAATTTCTTCATATTTTCTGTCTTTGGGGAGATGTGTGCCACTTGAAGTCTGTTTTTAAGGAGGAAAACATGTTTGATACAGAAACATTTAAATGGGTGTCTATAACTTTGCTAAATTTCAGCTACATCATGATAAAAGACTTCCCATCGAGTCTTCATACTTCATACTTTATACTTGATTTATTGTGGCCAGGTTCCCTAATGATATTGGAATAAAATGTATGTTCTGGATACCCGAAACAAGRTGTGCGGCCGCTCGGGTCCCTGGGGATCACCGGGAGTGCGGTAAGGCCGAGGGGATGGGATTTGCCGCAGCATTCCTGGCCGGCGGCCCTGGGGCTTCCTCGGCTGCCTGGCGCTGCCCTGCCCGGCTGGGACGCTCAGAGCTCGGAGAAGAGCGTTCGGCAAATTCAGTTTTGCCACTTAAGCCGGTGAAGGTTGCTGTGAACTGGCTTGTGTTAGAAGTTCAGACTGAGGCAAGTTCGGAGCAGCAGCGGTGCTGCTTTGAAGCGGGCTGTGCTTTGGAGAGGGTGTTTCTGTAGCAGCTACCAGATCTGAGCTAGAGGTTCCTCGGCTGATTTGGAGAAATCACAAATTTATTGAATGAACTGATGTCGTATGGAGGTCGTGCTCTTGAATATGTTGTACAGGATAGTGTATATTGTATTTATAAAATATGACATCTTTAATAAAGGAAGAGAAAAGAAGGGGAAGGAGCAGTCAAATTAAGTGTTCTCCCCTGCCGTGATTGTTCTTCAGCAAATGTCCATTCTGGGACCATATAACCCCTACATCGGTCCCACTACTTTGTTGTCTTACTTACTAATGATTTTGCTTGTATTAATATGTAATGGCACAACTCAAAATTCGTTTCAATTTTTAATTTTAAAACATCTGCTAGAGGACTGAGCTTACTCTTCCCATGTGCCTGTATCCTTTTTAGGCTATACGGGTATATAATAAAATAAAAATATTAACTTAATCCAATACAGGGTCAATCAAATGACAGCAATAATTTCAATATGCATGAGTTAACTTACAGGTTAATTTTCAAATAGCTATTTGTTTATGCATGTATGTGAATAAATTCAAATAATATTTTAAAATATTGCTTTTCTATCGATGTAGCTGTGTTCACAGTTCCTCAAAACGTTCTCTTTWTATTTAAGATGATGGTGAAAGGGATTTTTAAACTTCATTATTTTATTTGATACTATCAAAGGTTACTTAAAATAATTTTAAGAGAATAAATAGGAATGACTGTAAAGATGCTTTGCATACATATAGTATTGCTATTTGGATATAGAGTCTGGGGGCAATAAGGGAAGTTCTCCCCCTGTTTTGATATTTTACCACCAGCCCTTAGAGCACCCTCCAGAAGCTGCTCTCTGCTCCGGGGTGTCTCCAAAGTCAAAAAGCTTGGAAGAAAAGATSAATGTGGCTCTGTCACCGAGGGCAGAGAGGCTGCCGTGGGTAACACTGTGTGGGGAACTGAAGAGCACAGTGTTACGCTGGGAAAGACGAAGGGTGTTTGAAGAAGATGGACTTCAATTAGGAAGAAAAGACTCCCTTGTGCTCAACAGGGTTTTGGGAGCTGACGAAGATATGTGAGGAAAGCTAGGACAGAAGCAAAGACCCATAGCTCAAATGTCACCACATAAAATCTGTTGAAACTGGCATTTCATACTATATTAAATTTAAAAAATACTTCCTCTGAGGTGGAGATCCATGTTCATTATAAACAGTCTGAAACAAACTCTAGGACTTGCTTCAGTAATTACAGCTCTTAATGCTTTTAAGCCGTGCCTTGAAAGTTGGATCTGGGATCTCCATGAATCTTGGGATATAATGAGGGGTTTTTAACTTTTTTTTTTAATATAAAAATATTAATTTTGTCCAAGTCTGGAGCTGTTTCAGCAGATGCAAATGTTGTGCTGATGGTAGGTAGATGGAGATGGTTGAGAGTTTATAATATGGTGCTTCACTTTTTCTGCTTCTAGAATTTGTGGGGGTAAAACCAAAGATCTGTCTGCAGACAAAAAACTATTGCTGTTTATTAAGAAGTTTAAGATTAATGTATGGAGATAGTGTTTTGCCCATCGTTGTTAAAATATGATTAAAAAATTCAAAATGATAGAAAACCACAGATTTAATATAGATTTACAAGACATGATGTACTTGTGTATTTATCACAAGACTCACATCTAAGTCTCTGACTTGTGTATGAGCAGAATACAATTCCTGAAAGCTGGAGATCTGATTTTTTTCTCATAACTTTATTGCAGAAAGCCAGTTTCTGATCGGCGACGTGAAAAATGCCTTGAATTTACAAATCAGCACAAAAATGCTTGTTTGTGTCGTGTCAAGTGAAGGCTGGGAGGCAGCGAGGGAAAGGGGACCTGCTTCCCCTGCTAAGAAAGGCCGTTGCCTCAAACACGGCATGAGACAAGTCCACCAGCCCACAGCTGACGGAGCCAGAACTTGGTTCCTGGTTTAAGAAGACATAAATGATTGAAAATTGAACATGTCAGAATTAAAGGCTTTCCTGTTCAAAGGAGAGGAGATTGAAGCATAAGCCAGACGAGAAAATAAGGTAGTGTCTCTGTTGCTGTGCCAAGCAGGTAGATGGTGTGTAAAAATCAAACAGCAGAATGACTCCATCCTGCTCCCAGCGGATGCTCCGGTGACCCCAGGGGATAGATCCAGCATTCCTTGAGCAGTATTTGACACTATCTTGKAATCCACTCTCAGCACTGGAAAGCACGTCCCAGCGTCTCCATCCTCCATTCACAGTCTCCAGCAGATATTCGGGGCAAGCCACACAGCAGCTGCTTTGTCAGCCTTCATTTCTTTTCTCTTCTGCACTGTCCTGAAAGAAGATTTACCTGCTGTTTTCCTGCACTTTGGAGCCTAGCGTGGCCACTGAATGGTATCAGAGGATGAAATCACTTCTCCGTATCRTAAAAGTAGCTTTATCAGAGGATTACGGATTCCAGAAAGGTTTTCTTTCCCTCCTTTTTCTTGTCTTGTTCCCTCCACACTCCAGCCTCTTTAAATGGCACATCCAAAGCTATGTTTTCTGTATTATCATCGTTGGCTTTGTTATCATTTACCAAACCATCATTTCATCTTAGTTCACTAAACTGTCAATTAGTTTTAACAGAGCAGAAAACAGAAAGAKTTCTTGCTTATGGATGCTTATACCTTGTACGATTATGTGGTGGAACATTATGCTAAAACCTCTTCAAAATCACAATCATTAAGCACTGAAAGGCACCTGGCTGCTTTAGTGGCTTTCAAACGCTCACGAACGATGGGGTTCCTGGT